ATTTAAATTATTAAAGAAAAATAAATATGAAAATATTTTATTAATAATGACAATTTACTTTGATAAATAAAAATTGTTTATATAAATTGTTATTTATTAATTAAAATTCAAAACTGAACTGAACTGAACAGAACTGAACTAAAATTCAAAATTGAAATTAAAATAAATAAATAAATGCAAATGAAAATAATTAAAATAATATTTACAAAATATTATAACTTTTGTAATTTTGTTGTATTTTTCAGATTAATTGTAAGTTGATTTGCAAACTTTTTTCATTTAATTATCAATTGTAAATTAATTTACAAAATTTTTTTTCATTTAATTATTAATTGTAAATTGATTCGTAAAGTTTTTTTTTATTTAATTATTAATTGTAAATATTATTTTAATTGTTACTTTACGTTTCTTTAATATTTATTTTAATACATTTATTTTTTATACTTTATTTATTTAGCAATTCGTTTCAATAAGAGAGGAAAATTCATTGTATTTTTTTACGTTGATTTTAGTAAAATGAAGATGATTTTTATAAAAAAAAGTTCAATATTTTTTGTACTTGAAAAAATATTATTCTTCAACTTTCAAAAGAAATTCATATTCATTTTATTATCCATAAATAAAAATGAGCAATATTGAAAGATAAAATATCTTCTATTCTTCAAATCTTACCTAAGGTGCAAGCACTTAATCGGGCATCTTCAGATGCCCGATTGAAATCCTTCCAAACTTGATGCGGCCACAACACACGAAGATTTTTAAATAAAATATTTGAATATTTGCAAAAATTTATCATTTCTTAAAACTTCTAAAAGTAGTAATAATATCAAAATGAATTTTACATTAGTTTTTAATTTTCTTAAGAGCAAAAGTAAATTTATTGTTCTCATTGATTTTTAAAATTTAAAAAAAAAATGTTAACTGCTTCAGTTTTTAATTTTTAATATATTTAATTTAAATATTTTTTTTAAGAGCAAAAATTTTAATTGAAATTTTTCATTTAACTTGCGTGGTAAATTGCACTATATTATTATTTTTAATAAAACGAATTGAAATTTTACTTTAGTTTTTAATTTTTTTAAAACATTTTCTCTTTTTTATTTTTGAAAAAAAATTATTGTAATTGAAATATTTTGTTTTCCTTCGGCAAACAATTTAATTGCATTACTCTATTATTTTAAGAAAAGAAACTAAAATTTTACTTTAGATTATAATTTAAAAAATATTTTTTTTTATTTTATTTTTGAAAAATAATTATTGTAATTGAAATATTTTGTTTCCTTCCGCAAGGAATTGAACTGCATTACTTTATTAATTTTGATAATACGAAATTAATTTTTATTTTTTAATTTTCTATATTTTTTCAAGAGCAAAGACTTTAAATTGAAATATTAATTTTCTTTTACTGTAAGTTTAACGCTTACAATATTTAATTAATTTTAATAATAGGAAATTAAATTTTACTGTGGTTATTAACTTGCAAAATTTTAAAAAGCAAAAATTGTAATGAAAATATTTCGTTTTTTACTATATCAATTTAAATAAAACAAAATTAAATTTTAATAGAATTTCTTCTTTTTTTTAAAAATAAAATTTGCCATTCAAATATTTTATTTCATTCCCGCACTGAATTTAATTTACTTTATTAGTTTATAAACTTTTATAAATAGAAAAGTTTTGAAAAATTCTACAAAAAAAAGACTCATTTACGAAAATTTAAACTTTACTCCCGCACTGAATTTAATTTTTTACAATATACTTGATTAATTTCTTTTAGTTTTTTTTAATTTGGCTTTTTTGCACGGATCTAAAATCTTTTGAGCACTTCTCGCCAAAAATCTGAAAAAAGAACAGAAAAATATGCAACTAAATAAATTAAAGAATGATAAATATTATTTTCAAAATTTAAAATTAAATTATTTAGTTTCAAAAGCAAATTTTTGTAATCGAAAAAAATTAATACTTTAATAAAATAGTAGAATTAAAAACGAAGAGTGAAAAAATTTCTATATCAAAAATATTTTGTCTTTTAGACAAAAATAAATTATTTGTAGAACAATTTCTGAAAATAAAAAAAAAAAGAAACAATGTCTTTCTTAATTTTTCGTTTAATTTCCTAACTGTTTTGCTAAACTTTCAGAATAATTCAACAACTTTTAATATTGTACAGGAAAAAATTTTTTGTTCGTCTAATGATAAAATAAAAAAATCCAAAAACAAAAATTTCTTGAAATTTAAAAAATATTTTTCCTATTTTTCAGTTGTTTACCGAAAAACTATTTAAATTCACTCACTTTTAAAACACATTTATAAAACTATTAGGAAAAATTTCTTATTATTTTGATTCGATTTCTCAAAACGGAAAAAACAAAAAAACATAACCTATAAAATTATTGTTTTATTATTATTTAAAAATTAAGAAATTGTAATATTCTGTTTCGGAATATACACAAAAAAACAAATAACAATGTCTAATTTTGATGTGAAAAAATCCTAAAAACCTGAAACGCACGACACACTTTGTGAAATAGTTCCCGAATATCTTTCACATTTCTCAACTGTAAACTAAAAAAAAATCTTACACATTTTTATCACTTATTTATGAAATTATTTCTAATTTTTTGAAATAATTGTCACTAATTTCCTCGATTGAAAAAGCAACGAACGAACATAAAATTATATCGCAATATTCAAGAATATGTGAATTTTCTTTGTCGTGATAAAATTTTACTTCTATTTTTACTTGGAATATTTTACCTATATATTATATTCTTATATATTTGATCATTTAATTATAGAAATTTCATTAATGTTCACTCACCATGACGAAAAATCTTTCTCTCCAAAATTGCTCACTTGTTGCCTTTTTCGACACTCCATGGTTTCCCTTTGTCTCCTCCGTGTCACAATTAATTTTTCCGAAGAAATAGAAAAACCACCGAATTTAGAGAGTGAATTTCGAGTAGCTGTTGAAAATACGTCTTTTGCACTCCACTGTGACATCGCAAAAGAACTCTGCAACAATGAAAAACTCATTTGTTAACAAAAACTTTACATGCCGCCATCTTGAAAAAGTGAAATTGCGAATTCACAATTCATTCATTATTGGCAATTATTGAACAGAATATTAACACCACACTACACCAATATCACCGGAATTTGTTTCCTATTCGAAAAACTACAAAAACTTGCGACAAAACAATGAAATAATACCGATATTGAGATAAATGTGCACAGCAACAATGCTCGACACAACAATGGGGGGAATCGACATTTGTCTCATATTTCCTCACTTGGCGATCAAATTTCACAAGTATTTTCATAAAATACATTGCCCTTCGGCTTAGCAAAGAGAAAAAATCAAAAAGTTATAATAGATTATGCAAAAATATACCTTTTTCGGAGGAGAACTTAGTTGATGAAAGGGAGAAATCTGCTCCGTGCCGTCCGTTTAACGGAAAATGAAGCACGACCGGAACACTTTGAAATAGGGACTATTTCTCGTCTCTGATTGGCTGAACGTGAAATTTGGCGGTAAGTCATTATAATTATGATTTCCATCTAAAGTACACAATTCTGTTAACTTCAATTACTATTGTTACAAACTTGATATTAATCTCGTGTAAAAATATCCTTAACCTCAAGGGTAATTATATTGAAATTATAATTATTTTTCTACTTTTAAGAAACTAATTTAAGTCCGCATTGTTGGTAGTACTGCGCCTTGTACATGAGATCTGTGCTTGTGTTCGTGAACCACAAGTTCCCAACCATGCTTCGTTACCAACCTAGGGAAAATTAGCTTTTGCCAAATTAAGAAAAAAAAAAATTCAAATTTCTTTTATAAATAATATTAATTATTAGTTTTTATTTATTAAAAAATATTTATTTATGTTTAATATATTATTAAGAGTTAATAATTAATTTAATTAATGTGTAAAATTTTATAATTTTAATTTTACAACTTTAATTTTTATTACTAATTTTATAATTTTCAATTTTTTTTTAATTTTATAAATTTCTTTTATTATTTTATTAATATAATATATAAATTTATAATAAATAAAGAAAATTAAGATAAATTAAAAATATTTAATATATTTATTTCTATTATGCAATTTTTTTTAATTAATTTATTTATTTAGTTAATTAAAAATAATGAATAAAATAAAGTAACAATAAAATTAACTAACATTCAAATAAAATTAATATTAATTAATTAAAGAAAACTAACTTTTGCTAACTTAATAAAAAAAATTCAAATTTCTATTACCTATACAATTTTATTTTTATATTTTTTTTTTGTAAATAATTTTAGTATAATTTAAATTAATAATATTTTTTATAATTTTAATTAATTTTTTCTTTAATTTAATTTTTTTTAAATTGTTTATAAATTATAATTAATACTATTAATATTCTTTTAAACAATACTTACTAAATTATGTCAATTAATTTACTAAAGAATTCTGAAATGTAAAAAATTAATTATTAAATAATTCGTAATAATAATGTTCTAATAATAATTAAATAAATAAATGCAATAAACATGCAAACGAATTACAATTTACACAACAAAACAAACATGCTTCAAATGTAATTAAAATTAATTATTAATTTAAAAAAATTTTTTTACAATTTCAATTTAATAATTTTAATTATCAATTTAATAATTTTAATTTGTCAATTAATAATTTTAATTTGTCAATTAATTAATTAAATTAATTTAGTAACTAATTAATTAATTATACCAATTAATTTTCCCACACTGATAAAAATTATTTGAAATTAATTTTATCAATTATAATCAATTTATTATTATATAAAATACAAATAATTAAATTTTATTAAATTTAGTAAAAAATTTGTTTATTCATTAAGAATTTAATTTTTAATAATATCATTTAATTATGTTTCAAATAAACCGATAAATAAATATTAAAGCAATGAAATTAAATTTTTTTTTCTTTTTCACCGACTTGAAAATAATTAAGGAAAAATTAAGAAACAAACTTTATTTATTTATCAGATAAATGAAATACAACAGAATAACGCTATGTCATACTATCAATTGATCGTCTTGTGAATCTCACGCCTTTTTGTACAAGCACAGCGCCAGAGATTTGCATATAATATATGTATATATTTATATACTTACTACGCAATTGTAGAATACGTAAAAAGGGGGTTCTCTCGTATTCATACACCCGTTCTTTTATTATTAATAATTATTATTATTATAGTGAAATTAAAAAAAAATGTACAACTAATAAGTCAAGGTCAATGGCTACTAAAATTCGATAGACTTGGATAAAAAGAAAATCGGAAAAATTTTGAAAAAAAGAATATAAATGAAATTTATTGTTATTTTAGATAAATATGGCCCCTCTTTTTTATTATATAGAATCAAATTTAAATAATTTCTTTTTTTTTTGAAAAAAATTATTTTCAGGAGAAAGAATTTAATTATATTTGATTCTATTTTTAAAAATTGAATATTACAACTAATAATAATTAATTAATGGCACATTGACCATTGTTGACTTTCATTTACATAATATTTATGAAAACGGTCAGTGTTCTTTGTAGAAAAATAAAATACAAATAAATATCGGACGTTAGTTTTAAAAACAAGAATTCGTAGACTCAGAAAGATTAAAGTAAGAAGAGCTTTTTATCAAGTTTTCACTATATATACAAATACAGTTATTATTGGCCAGTAAATTTCCAGTATTTTCATTTATCTGAACAGGCAAAAAAAATATTTTTATCCTAAAACAATTATATATTTTTCAAAAGTAGCAAAACTATCCTAGTGAAACATTTAATTGTTCCAGGTAAATCATTATCCATATTTTTCTTGTTCGTTAGTCTTTTAATAATATTTTCTGTTTCACTATTTTCAATATTATTTTTTTCAATATTATTTTTTCAATATTATTTTTTCAATATTATCTTTATATTCAATATTATTTCAATTTTCCATATTATTACTATTTTCAATATCATTTATATAAGTCTATACAATATAAAGTTAACATTACACCAAAATATATCATTAATTGAAAAACGATATAAATTCAAAAAGCAAAATGTTAACCGAACATTGTACAAAAATTAACAATAAAATTTTTATGCGACACATAATAAATTTTTCTCTAAATATAATACAAAAAAAAAATCCCCACTCTTCAAATATAATTCTCTTTCTTTGAAAATGTACATAAACTATTCAAAAAAATAAATGTTCATCCTTTTTATCCAAGACTATTTCAAAGTCACGGGGAAATAAATTGTACAAATATAATTCACTTCAGAGCAAAATGCGAAGATTTTGAAAAAGAAAACAACTCTTTCAATTTAAATAAGCGAAAATTTACGTTGAAAATACTATCAAAGTAAATGGAAACGAAAAACCTTGTCAAATATATAAATTCTATTAACAAACATAATTATTAAAATTTTCCCTCTTTTTTTGAAAAATAAATTTCCACTTATTTCAAATATCAAGAGAAAGCCAAAGTTTTTAATAATTAATAAAACTTTAAAAAAACGACAGATAAAAATTTCGAAATGAAAACACGTATAAATTATTGTCCGCAAATAAGTGAACAAGCGCAGGGATATATTCAATGTTTTACTTCTTTTTTTTTCTCCTCTTTTTGTTAATTTTTATAATATATCGTTTATTTTTGAAAAAATCTTCATTTCAAGCTCGTCGAAGAAAAAACTGCGAAGCGAATAAGGAACACGTTGAAAAAATTAAAAAAAAAAATAAAACATAAAGAATCACTGGGACGACCCGTTGCATTTTCGTATATACGATTTATAATCGTAAACAAATGAAACGTTTCACAAAAAAAAGGTTTCGAGATGCCTCTTACAAAGAAAAAAAAAAAGTGCACAGTGTCTGCCACCCTCTGTTAATCCCACTCCTCATTGTTTTCTATATCCTTCCACGAAACAATCATTCACACGGCCAAATACATTCGAAAAAAATTCAACAACATACAAAAAACCGATACGCAACTCGAAGGACGACAAAAATGCAACTATTCCAATAATACAGAACTGGCTGCTTTCTTTTTTGCTTCTTTTATTGATTTTTTTACCTTATAAACTTGATATCCTACAAATAAAAGTAAAATTAAAAAAAAGAATGTTTCACCAAACAGTTAAAATAAAACTTTTCTTTTAAAAATTCTTCTCGATAAGGCAACTAATCTGTTTAGTATTTCAGGATAAACTTCCGAAAAGCGCATACCTCCGATTTTAATGAAAGTTGGTATTTGTGCCCTGATTACGAAAATCATAGTGAAAGTTGGCGCAAATAAGTTTATCATGGTGAAAACCATAAAAATGTGGTTTTTTTGCATTTAACATTTTTGTCCAATTGTGATTAGTTCTCGAGAAAAACGTAAAAAACCATAAAATACCATAAAATTGTCTAAAATACGAATTCTAATAAAACAGAATTATTCTTAAAGAAAATCATTAACATTTATATAATTCAGGGAGCTGATCAAGAAAATCACATTGAAAATTTTCGAAAATTAAAATTTTATGGTAAAAACCATAAAATTGTTTTTTCTTTTTTGCATTTAACTCCTAAAAAAACACAGAATTTCAAAAAATGTTTTCTAACGAAAGTTGTAGGTTTTAACAAACAACTAAAATACCATAAAATTGTCTATAACTTGTTAATGTTTTTCTTTTATGTACCAACTAGAAAGTAAATTTGACCCCCGTTCTATTACCAAACAACGAGAGAACACGTAGTGTCCTCTCCACTAGGCACATTAAAAAAAAGTTTCCCTTTTTATTACTAAAAAGCGAGAATTCTGTGTTTTTTTAGGAGTTAAATGCGAAAAAAAAAAACAATTTTATGGTGTTTACCATGAAATTTTAGTTTTCGCAAATTGTCAATCTGATTTTCTTAATCAGCGCCCTGAATTACATAAACGTCACTGATTTTCTTTAAGAATAATTCTGTTTTATTAGAATTTGTATTTTAGGCAATCTTATGGTATTTTATGAATTTTTTTTACGTTTTTCTCGAGAAATAATTACAATTGGACAAAAATGTATTTTACGAAAAAGATGTGTTCTGTTAAGACCTTAGATCTTTTGTTAAGAATATTTTTTCAAATTCTGTATTTTTTTTGGAGTTAAATGCAAAAAAGCACATTTTTATGGTTTTCACTATGATAAACTTATTTGCGGCAATTTTCACTACGATTTTCGTAATCAGGGCACAAAATTACGTAAGTATAACAACTTTTATTAAAATCGGAGGTATGCGCTTTTCGGAAATACACCCGTATTTCATTTTACAATATAATTAAATGATATACTATAAAGTATATGTAAATCACTAATATATGGTTATTTTTATTTTCTTGTTACAAGCCTTACATAATTAGAATATAATATGTATACTTTGTATATATATACTCTTGTAATAAAATTGATTACTTCGTACTTGCTTTCTAGAGATAATAAATATAACTATTGTGTAATGTTAGTACAAGAGAAGTGCGTGCAGAGGGTGGCAGCAGAGTGCGCATTTTCGAGTGCTACTGAATTTGGGATATTCCAATCCCTATTCTCAATATCGTCTCACATGGTGACATTCAATTGTATTGCTTTCGTGTCTACCGCACAAGCTTGCTGCTGCTGCTGTTGTTGCTGCTGTTGTTGTTGTTGTTGCTGTTGCTGCTGTTGTTGTTGCTGTTGAACTTGTTGTTGTACCTGTTGCTGTACTTGCTGTTGCACTTGCTGTTGTATGGCTTGCAATTGAATTGATTTTGTGTCAACAGTACACGTTTGTTGCTGTTGATTTTGAACTTGTTGCTGCTGCGCTTGTTGTTGGTTTTGTTGGGCTTGTGCAGCAGCTTGAGCAGCTTGTCGTTGCTGTTGACGTAGTATACTCGGTGGCGGGTCCATGTGTTGTCGTTGATGGAGTAATAAATGATTCTTTTGAAAGAAGGCTTTCCCGCATTTGTCGCAAACGTGCGACCTTATGTGACAACTGCCGTCCGAATGACGTCGTTGATGTTGTGAGAGACCGTGTTTTTGTGCAAAGCCACGACCACAATCGGGACACACGTGGGGCTTTGGTTTTGGTCCAGAGCCGGCTGGCGGTGATGTTTGCGTTGCGCCATGCATGTGACTCACACTCGGTGTTCCGATCGGTCCATTTATCTGTAAATGCTCCTCCTTTTTAGTTTCAACGTGATGCACCGTCTTTTAATAATAGAAATGGAATTTTTTGGGGTCTATTTCAATATGTTTTTAGTTACCTGATGTGTTCCTGATGTATTTGGAGTGAGGAAGTGTCCTGGTGATTGTTGGAAGGCAGCAGCTAGACCACAGAGATCCGTCACTAGTGTTCGATCGCCTGAATGTAACCTTAAATGCAACGTAAGTGCCTCTCGATTCTGGAATCCTAAACCGCATTCCCTGGAAATATTCATTTTCAATTTAGAAATATTTTCTATAAATTAGAATCTTTTCTACATTCTGTAATAAATATTCTCTGATTAAACTCTTTCTTTACTCTTCTAAACCAAGAATTTAATTTAGACATTTTTGTCTCTTCTTTACAAGAAAATTTACGAATCCTATAACAACATTTTATTCCAATTAGTGAAGTTAATTTCATTAAATTTATTCATATTCAAAGATCTTTAATGTCTCTAAAATTTTGAACGTTCAAATGAACGAAATTTATTTATTTCACTTTCAAATCCAACTTTCATTACAATAAATTTACCTCAAGTAACAAAAAAGTAAGATATAGTTTGTAAATATTATATTTTTCTTTTGATTTTTATTGCAAATAGAAATTTTTGAAAATATTTATATCGGGAAAAATTTTCGTTCATTTGAAAATTCAAAACTTGTAAACAACGATCTTCATTTAAATTTAAACTATTCCACCCAATTAATACCAATTTATAATTGAAATTTCTTTTTTTAGATAGAAAATCGACAAAGTTTAGTTAAAAAAGAACATTTTTTAGTCAATTTTTGTTCGCAATTTGCAAATAAATTTTGCAACGTGCAAACTTTAAATGCGATCTTATTGTATCTCTATTTCTGAAAAATTTTACTGGTTATTAAAATAACAATTTTATTTAAGGTAAATTCTGAATCGTATGGATAAAAATAATCCTAATAATAGGTTTGCCTGTCTCTTTATTAAATAAATAAATTGAAAAGTATTTCAAAAATAAATTTTTAGTTAAAATTAAAGAATTTTCCTCTTTTGAGAATGTGAAAATTGAATTTGTGAAAACAAAACTCGACAAAGAAAATATTTAACAATTTTATGGCGGTGATAGTAAATAATGAGAACAATAACAAAAATCGAACTTTGAAAATGAAAAGTTTAAATTTAACAAGAATTCTGCAAATGGAAATTGAAAATCACAATTTTGCAATTAAAAAACGTCATAGCGAGAGAGAAAACAATTTTATTAATACCTGATATAATTAGGTACTAATTGAAAGATAAAATTTTTTCTTATATTATGAAACATTTTACGATAGTTATACAATTTTTGAAATTAATTGAATTTTTCTAAAGAATTTTATCAAAATCTTTGAAAATAATTCAATTCTTTTAAGGAATTTTATTTAAAAATCTTTTAAAAGTAATTGATTTTTAATAAGAAATTTCATTAAGATTGCAATGAAAATAACTGAAATCCTGATTTAAATAAAAATGTATTGAAAATAATTAAATTCTTTCGAGAAATTTTATCAAAATTTTTGAAAATAATAGAATTCTTTCCAGAAATTTGATTAAAATTGTACTAAAAATAATTAAATTCCAAGGAATCACATTATTTTTTAAATATAAAAATAATAAAATTACAAATTAATAAAATTTGTAAAACTAGAGATTCAATTATTTCGAAGAAAATTTAAATTTTTTCGAGAAATGTAATTAAAATTGTACCTACAAATAATTCTATCAAAAATTGTATTGAAATGATATACGTATACATAATTATTGAATTCCTCTGAAGAATGTTATTATTTATGAAAATAATTTAATTGTAGCAAAAAAAAAAAATTAAATTTCTTTTAAGGAATTTAGTTAAAAAATTATATTGAAAATATTTGAATTACTGCGAAAAATTGTATTTAAAAAAATAATAGAATTCTCGTGAATAATTTTATTAAAACTTTTGATAATAATTTTATTGAGATTATATTGAAAATTATTTAATTCAACTTCCAAAGAATTTTATTCAAATTTTGGAATAAAATTTAATTATTTCAAAGAAAATTAAAATTTCTAAAAATATTCTAAAAATATCAACAAATATTTTTTAACCTATATTGAAAATTATTGTATTCCTCCGAAGAATTGTATTATTTACGAAAATAATTTAATAATTATCAAGAAGTTTACGAAAATTTTTGAAAATAATTTTAATTTTTTCAAATTCTTCAGAAGAATTTAGTTAAAAAATTTCGAACATTGAATTGAATTCCTGCGAAGAATTATACTATTCACGAAATATAATGAAAATCTTGCGAATAATTTCATTAAAATTTTTCTAAAATAATTTAATTCTTGTAAAGAATTTTATTATTTATGAATAGTAATTTTATTCTTTGGAAGAATTTTAGTAAAATTTTTAAAAACAATTTAATTGTTTCAAAGAAGGAAACTTACATATTTAATGATCAGAAAAAATAAATCCAACCACAAAAAAATAGGTTTTTTCAACTTCTTACAAATTTACAATTGACAATTAATAAATTATAAATTTGGAAATAATATTATATTAAAATATAAAATATATAAAATTAGATTAAGGGGACTTTCTGGTGAAGAATTGGTAAAAAAGACACTTTTTTTAAACTATTATTGTATATAATGTATTATAGTTATTGCAAAAATTCCTTTTGGATATTGTTACATATTACAAGAAGAGAATTAAAAATTTTGTTTCGAGTACTTTTAGTTTATTTTCGCAACTGTAGGTGTGACGTCTTCCAAAAGGTGCCTTTTATTCGGGGAGACAGTTTCCGGGTAACCTATTTTACATAAATTAAAAATTCAAACGGGATTCGCTTTATGAAGATTTTTCTCTAAACAACAAACCTCAAAAACAATTTTTTTTTACTGTTTTACAATTTTTATAACACATTTTTCTCAAAAAAAATGGGAAAAATGATGTATTTTTTGGTTTATTTCCCCCCGTAGAAAATAACAGGGGGTAAAAATGTAAAATTTTAATGTCCCTGAATTCCCATAAAAAAATGTATTATCTGTGAAAATAATTGAATTCTTAAGAAGAATTGCATTGAAAATAATTGAATAGTATAGGAAAATTTTATTAAAATTACAATTTTATTAACTAAATCTTGTAAAGAATTTTGTCAAAATTTTTTAAAATAATTTTATTTAAATGTTTCGAAATAATTGAATTTCTTAGAACTATTTTTTTCAATTCTCTGCATTGAAAAATTAAAAATAATTGAAGAATTGGTGGGAAGAAATTTATAAAAAAAATTGGTAAGTAATTGAATTCCTGTTAAATTTTTATTAAAATTTTGTTTAAATAATAAAATTGTTTTGGAAATTTTTATTAAATTTGTAGATATTAAAAATAATTGAAATTTTGCCAAGAATTTTATTAAAATTTTTCATAATAATTGAATTTCAGAGAAGAATTTTATATTATTTATAAAGATACAAATTGAAATTTTGACGAGGATTTTAACACATTTTTCAATATAATTGAATTTATGAGAAGAAGTTCATCACTTTTGAAAATAATTGAATTTCTGTAATCAGTTGTTCTTAAAATTTCTATTTAAATTCAAACAAAAAAGACACAAAAATTCAAAATTTTCTTATAAATTCTAAAAATTAAATTTTTTCCAGTACTTTTAATAAAAATCCCTGATTTTTCCCTGACTTGTGGCAACCCTGTGTCTTTTCATTTTTGCGAAAAAAAAGCTTTTCGACGAGAACTTCAGGGGCCTAAATTTTAGAAGTTTATTGTCTAGTTTTTTAGATAAAGAATCGAATGGTTTTTGGTTTTTATTTAAAGTCGGTTCAGTAGATTACGAGAAAAGTGTCTCCCCGTTTTCAAAAATGAGTTAAAAGTTTTCTTAGTGTATTACAATATGTTAAGAAACGGTCATAAAAATTGCAATAACTTTTGCTTTTGCTTTTTTTCAAAAAATGTTTTAAGAAAGTAATTTTATGATACTAAGGAATAGTTTAAAGCAAAAAAAGAAAAACAGATTTTTTTTAAATTCTTGACCAGAAAGTCCCCTTAAAATGTAAATTATGTTTTGGTTTTAGAATTATGAAAATCTTTTTGAAAGAGAATGTGGGTATGAAAAATGCTATATTACCTGCAAGTGAGTGACTTTTCATCAGCGTCAGTATTATTATTATGTATTTTAGAGTGCGCGACTAGGTCTGCCTTCCTTGGGAATGCTTCTCCACAAACGGTGCATGCAAAAGGCGTTTCTCCCGTGTGCAATCGCATGTGTGCGAGCAATGTTCTCTTTTGTAGAAATTCCTTACCACAAACATTACAAGAATGGGGCACACGTCCATGAAGTCGTCCATGATTAACCAATTCGAATTTCCTTTGGAAAGTTGCCCCACAATCGTGGCAAACAAATGGATGTAAACTGCCATGGAAGCGCGAATGCATTGTCAAATGATCCTTTTGCGAGAATGATTCTCCGCACTCCTCACAAACAAAGGGTCGTTCGCCGGAATGGAATTTGCTATGTGTTACTAGATGACGTTTCAATGGAAATGCTCGTCCACACTCTTGACAAACGAACGGCCGTTCACGCGTATGCACCCGAGTGTGTGTCACTAAATGATGTTTCAATGTGAAGGACTTTTTACATTCGCGACACTGATATGGTCTCTCTGCACTATGCAGAAGAAGATGAGTATGAAGACAATGTTTGTGCGCGAAACTTTTTCCACAATGCACACAAATATGTGGCCGTTCGCCAGTATGAACTCTCGCGTGTGTTGTCAAATGATGTTTGAGAAGAAATGATTTACCACATTCGGAACATGAATAGGGTCTTTCTTTGGGCACACGTACCTGACTGCCCATATCCTGTTGGGTCTTCACCTTTGTTTCAATTTGTGTTGTATTCACGTGGGTGAGAACGTGGCCGAAATGTGTTGAGGTATCGGTTTGACTAGCCGCAACATTGTTGGTATTCGCTTGATTCGAGGCAGCTGCAGCCCTCTTCATTAGGATATCATTGCACTCTTCCGCGGTGAGTTGAAGCGGACCAATTGGCGTCATAAAATGTTTACTCATGGCATGCTTATCGGTGGTTGTAAAAACTAGTGTATTTGGAAATAATGAAGGTTGTGATGTTGGATGTGCAGCTTCACAATTGCAACCGCCTTTATCGCATGTTAAAGAGAATACATCGTGATGCTTTTTGGTTCGCACGTGTGTCACGTGCGTTTGATTATGTGCTCCAGTGTGGCCGTGATGCGTCGTCGGCGTTTGTTGACAACTCTCGTTCATTGTGAACATTGTACGTCTGTGGGCATTATTGGCAACTTTAGGCGGTTTAATGTCCACTTGAATTTTTTGACTTGAACCCTGGTCTTGATTGTTGTTGACCGCATAACTAATATTTGTCGTGAGATCATTTTGATTGCTTTCACGTGTTTCAGTGCCAGGTCCGCCAAATGACCAGGCATATCCGAACCCAGTGCCTGCATTACCAGGAGTGGTGCACATATTCGTCAGCGGGGTAATCGAACTGCTCGTCTGACTAGCCGCTGTTGAAGTAGGACCCTCCGTCTCTGTTGATTAAACAAAATTATCAGTCTCTCTTTCTTCTCTATTCAAATATCAAGTTCGCAACATTTTTTCATTTTCAATTTTATTCAATTCATCTATAATTCGGAAATTTTATTTTAATCCATACACTGAGAAAAATATAAAGTAACTTTTACTACTTTTATAGTAAAACATTTCTGTTTGCATTTCTGCTAACTTTTACTACTTTCCAAGTAAATTTTACTACATAACTTGTAAAAAATTAGTAAAATTTATTTCGAACGCAGCAAAATTCACTCCGAAAGTAGTAAAAGCTAGCAGAAATGCGAACAGAAATGTTTTACTATAAAAGTAGTGAAAGTTACTTTATATTTTTCTCCATGTAACAAAACGTTGCGAGCTTCATTGTCATCAATAAATTGCAAATAGCAACATTTTTTTTTTTTTTTTGCATTTCTTAAAGAATTTATAGTTACCTTGCATTTTAGTGAATTTATGCCTACAAAATCTGGAGTCTAATTTTTCTCCTTAGTCGATATTTAGCGTCTAATGATACAACATTGGTTGACTAAACAAACAAGTTTTAAGTTGAGATTGTTGTAGGCGAAAAATGATTTCTAAAATTCAAGGCCACTGATTATTTTTCTAATTGAAGATGAGCAAAAAAAAATTTTTCTTTCCAAATGATTAAAATGTTGAGGAGCTGGATGCTATAATGTGTTACGCGCCATTCACTTAACATGGCGCGTAACACATTATAGCATCCAGCCCCTCAATTGTGAATTATGAATTTTTTTTATAAATGAATTATGAACATGAGTAGGGAGAACTTTATAGGAACTTTATGCTTTAGGATAAAAGCACAAATTTCAAAAATGTTGTCTAGTGTTAAAATCAACATTAAAAAGTATTTTTTAACCAATTGTCGAGAGCATTATTAAAAAGCATAATTTTTATAGCAATGTAGCATATGAGCTGCTTAATTCAATAACAAAAAACATAATTATGTACTAAAAAAATAACATGAGTTTAGAAGCTAAAATAAAATAAAACATCGCATTATCAGTGTTGACACAAAAATTTAATTTTTTCCCTGAATTTTTCCTCGACTTTCAGACAAAATAATCTCAATGAAAATTCAATTAAACTTTCTCAAAAAAATTAATTCTACAAAATTTTTATTTAAAAGAATGAAAAATTCTGATTTTCAATGATTTTAATTTGAAACCTTTTTTGAAATTCAATTATATCTAAAAATTCAGCCTATACTGCTTTAATATTCAATTATTATTATCTAAAACTTTGATCTGAAATTCATTTTTAAATCAGTTTTTATTAGAAAATTCTAAGAGAATTCAATTACATAAACACAAAAATAAATACATAATTTATGCAATAATTGAATGTTTCTCAAAATTGAATTCACATAAAGAATTTTATTAACCAAATTTTTAAATAATTCAATTCTTTTGACGAATTTTAATTCAATTTTTAAGAATAATTACATTTTTCGAGGAAATCGTTTAAAATTGTATTAAAAATAATTGAATCCCTGTAAAAAATGTTATTATTTATGAAAATAATGTAATTATTGCGAAGAAATTTATAAAAAATTTGTAAATAATTTAATTCCTGTGGAATTTTTTATTATTTATTAAAAAAAAATAATTAAATGTTTGCGAAGAATTTTATTAAAATTTTTTATAATAATTGAATTTATGCGTTGAATTATATTGAAATTCTGGAAAATAATTCAATTCTTTAAAGGAATTTTGTTATGATAATAATTGAATTTCTGAGAAGAATTTTGTTATTTATTAAAATAATAATTGAATTCTGTCCAAGAAATAATAATAATTTTGAAAAATAATTGAATTTTTGCCAACAATATAAATAAAATTTTTGAAAACAATTGAATTTCTGTGATGAATTATATTTTTTTGAAAATAATTCGATTTTTTAATGGAATTTAGTTAAAATTGCTTTGATACTAACTGAATTCTTTATAAAGAATTTTCTCAAAATTTTTTTTAAATTAATTGAGTTCTGTACAAGAATTTTATTAAAAAATTTTTTAAATAATTGAATCTTGTCAATAAATTTTATTAAAATTGTATTGATTGTATTGAAAAAATAGAATTGCCAAGAAAAAGTTTATTTATAAAAATAATTGAATTTTTGCTTCAAATTTTATTGAAACTTTTAATTTAGTTTAGTTAAAAAATTTTTAATATTGAATTGAATTCCTGTGAAGAATTATATTATTTACGAAATATAATGAAAATCATGCGAATAATTTTATTAAAATTTTTGAAAATAATTGAATTCCTGTAAAATTTTTATTATTTATGAAAATAAATAAATATTTGCGTAGAATTTTATCAAAATTACTTTTAATTAATGGAATTTGTTTGAAAAAATTTTTTAAAACAGTAGTTATTGAAAATCATTAAATTTAGGAAATTTTTTGAAAATAATTGAAATTTTGACAAGAATTTTATTGAAATTATTGAAAATAATTGAATTTCGGAGAAGAATTTTATAATTTGTAATGATAATTGAAATTTTGACGAGAATTTTTATAAATTTTTTAACATAATTAAATTTCTGCGAAGAAATTTATTATTTTTGAAAATAATTGAATTTTCGCAATCATTTACTTCTTCAAAATTTAATTATTTTTTAGTGTTTTTAACTAAAATTCATCTATAAATCCATTATTTTTAATAATTAATTAATATATATCGAAAAATTTAACAAATTTCAGACCTTTTAAAATTGATCTATTTATGAAAATTGTCAACGCAACTCTTAAAATTTAATTAATTTTGAAATATTTAAGTAAAATTATTCATTAAATAATTTCTAAATAATAATTAATAAAAATCCCTGACTTTTCCCTGGAAAAATCAGGACTTTAAAAATCTGACTTTTCCCTGACCTGTGGTAACCTTGATTATTTTTGCGTTTTCGTTTTTAAAAAAACTTTGCCGACTTCAGTTTCATTTATTATTTTTTATGAATATTAAGTGAAAGAACAAATTTTCCAAATGCAAAGCATAATAAAAGCATAAAAAATATAAGAGCATAATAAGAGCTTATTTACTGCATAATTGACATTATTTAGAAGAATAATGGAGTATTTTATAAATTTTGAAAGCATAAATCGTTTAGATGAAAAGCATAAAGTTCCTGTCTCTAAACAAGAGATATTTCTTAAAATTACACACATTACTCAAGTTCCAAACATCTTTTGATTGAAAAACTAATTCATAGTTTGATTTATAAAAAATTTGAGAAACACGTTAATTTGAACGATTTGGAAAAAAGGTAATTTGCTGGTAATTCGCCTTTATTCCAATTATCAAACCAAAGAAAATCTCTCTAGAATCCAATTGCAAATGTTACGAATATTTTATATTTAATAAAATTCAGAAAAATTGTATATTGATAATAAAATTTATTAATTTTAAAAATATAACCTCTGGTGCAGATAATTGAGGGAAAATAATGTTTGGCTCATTGTTATTGTTACTACCAAGAGATATGCAATTTTTCCATTTACTTGATAATGGAGTTTGAAATTTCAAAACAAAAATGACTATAATGACATTTCTTTCCGAGTAACAATGAAAATTAATGAAAATTAATTAAACATAATTGGTAACATTATTGGTTAATGAAAATTGAGAGAAAATCTTGGGACTAAAAGAGGGAGAAAAAGAGAGAGAGAAAGAAAGAAAAGAAGTATGTGTGAAAATCGACAAAATATTATTCTCCTCACACAGCACATGATTGTTTTTTTACCTAGTACTGTTGTCAATTCATTGTCCACGCCGACTCGCTCCACAACGACAAATTGGTCGGCGGGAAATATCTTGAGTGGCTCCAAATAAAGATACCCGTCACACTCCAGTATCTCGGTGATGGGGTTTCACTATCGGTATCATATCTGCCTGGATGGCGTGAGGGTTGAAAGTTCCGCCCGAGTGAGCGTGGCGTGGAAAAATCAAAGGCGAATAACAACTTGCAAATACCTCGTGCAACTTGATTGTGTAGCAGGTGAAATCACTAAAATAAAATGAATAGATAAAGAAATTGTATACCACGAGGTCGTTTTTTTTTAAATAGGGAACTGAATTCAAGGAAGGGTGCAAAAATTTATCTGAAAGGAAGATCCAAGAGCGTGTGTTGAGCGACGAGGAAAAAGGCAGGAGTTTTAGCGGCGGCGATTGGCAGCAGTAGTAGTATCAGTAATAGCAGAAGTGCCTTTCACAGTTTTTGTTAAATTCCTCAATTCTTCTTCTTTTAATAATCCCATTGATTTTTAATAATCGTTAGCACGCCGGTTTTATTCCAAATAAATTATTCGTTATTTGCCCCTAGGGCAAATTCTCTGTCTCGTTTCGTCTCGTCTTTGAGGCCCGCGGCGTCCACGGTTCTAAAAAGACAACCTCCACCTTCTTCCCACGGCACTCCCACAATCTCACCAGCACTCGACGTTATTCCCACGGGATTTTTCACTTTATCGCTTTACATTAAATCACTGACGCGAGTGGCCGATGGTCATTAATTTTCTGCAATCACATATTTTATTCTTCATACAAAATATCTTCACATATCGGCCATTTTATTTGTAAACTACCAAAAAACAATGTTGCCAATGCACGCGCGCTTTTGGAGGGAGCTAGTTGCACAGGAGTTTATAGCGTCACCATATTAAGCTGCATTCACAGTACGGCGGCTGCTTGCAAATTGAGTGCGAGGAAGAGAGAGTATTCGAAATTCAAATTTTTCTTCTCACTCACACTTGTGCCTATGCTTGTGATGCTTGTGATTTTCCCCCACCCAACTTAAATTATATTCAAAGACCTGACCTGTGAACTTGGCTTTACACTTCCGGACTGGCAGCACTGTATAGTGACGACACAAATCCTTCCGCCATATTTGAATATCCGCACACCTTTTGCAATCTTTTTTTTATTCTGCTTAAATGAGCCATTTATTTCAATAATCACCGAAATAAGAATCGATCTTTTTCATTTTCCTTCAAGAAAAAAATTGTAAACGAAATTTTTTACACCAAACATCGGAAGTCAATATTCGAGTATAACCTAACTTTACACAACAATCAATTTACGAAAAGTGTCCAAATGTCGAAGGCGGACAATTCCAGGAGACGAAGGATTTATTTATTTTGAATGTAAATTCCTATCAATGTGGATTATTTCGAGGTTAGTGTAAATTTTATGATTTTAACAAATTAATTAATTAGTAAAATCTACAGTCTATTTGGACCGTCAGCGAGCCAAATATAAGTTACATTTGTTATTTGGCGGTTGGCCCGTCATCCCACTTCCATACATTTCATACATTTTAAGACGGGCCAAATAAAAAAGTGGTTTATTTGGCCCGTTAGATAACAAATTTGCTGTAATTAATAAGGATTGATTATTTAGATTATTATTATTACTATTCTTACAAATAGATTATTTAATCTATATATAGGTAATATTTATATACGTGAATTTGACAGCTAATGTATATTTTAACCTCAAAGGAATAAGATATACACATTACAAACTTACAAATAAACATCAATAAACGCATTTAGTGCATAACATAAATTAAATCATTCACATACTTATATTATTAAAAATACTCAATTTGAAAATTCTTCAAAAATACGATTATATTTAAAAATAATGTTTAAAAGTAAAAAAATAAAATTTAAGTCAACGAAATTTTACAAAATTTCCTATTATAATTGGAAGGATAATTTAGTTTTTTAAATAAAATAATAAAATGAGTAAAAATTTGAATAATTTTTTTTAACTAAATATTTAAATACTTATTTCTTTTTTCACAGAAATTACAATATTTTCAATGATTACAATGTAAAACGTTTTTGGAATTTAACTGTTTCTAATATTTACAACTGCAATTTAAATTCTTTTATATGAATAATAAAATGATCGTTGCAGGAATTCAATTTATTAGCAGGATAAGAAAAAAATAAATATTTTTGATGAAAATTAGGAAAAAGTCAGGAAAATAAAATATAGAAGTAAAAAAGTAAAAAGTAGCTTTTAGTGTCACAAAAATCTAAAAAAGTATCTATATTGTTCGTTTATTTTTTAGACAATGGATAAAGGAGGTAAAAAGTATCAACTACTGGAACTGGGGACAAAATTAGAAATCCTCGAGACCCTGCAATCAAACGAGAAAAATGGCATAAAGACAAATAATTCAGAACTCGGGCGAAAATATAATGTATCAGAAACGACAATTCGTCGAATAAAAACGCGTCGTCGGAAATTCTACGAAATGCACTTGCAACAAAATGATAAAGTATCACGTCTCAAGATGAAGAAGAAAATTTTGAATTCGAAACATTCGATTCTCGAGGAGACACTTTACAAATGGTTCAAGCAGAAAATAGCAATTGGACAAGCACCGTCGAAATGTTCTTTAGCGAAACAAGCATTGCTAATAAATTCCCTGATTAAAGGCGATAAAGATTTCAAGGCAAGCAGAGGTTGGGTTGAAAGATTCAAAAATAGATTTCAAATTCAGTCACATTGGTTTCGTGATAATAAATCATTGACGAATTGCGAGGATGAAAGGGAATTTGTCAATAAGCTCGAATCAATAATGAGATTAAGGGATTTTCAATTGTACCAAATATACAATGCAGATGAAACGGGTATTTTTGTGAAGATGTTACCCGAGACATCGTTTGACGAATTTGATAAGAATTTATCGAAGGAGAGAGTTACTGTGATGGTGTGCGCGAATGCGGACGGTAGTCATAGAATTCCTCTGTTTATCATTGGAAATAGCAAAGACACTTCTTGCCTTGAGGACGTTCATAGATTACCATTTGTATACAATAGTCAAGAAGATGGATTTATGACTCGTGAACTTTTCATTAAATGGTACATAGAAGTTTTTTTGCCTTCGATTCGTAAATTTCAAGCCGAATCAGGAAGATCGTATAATGTTTTGCTAATTTTAGATAACGCCACTTGTCACCTATCGAAAAATGAATTGGACGCAGTCGACGATTTGTGTAGTGTAAGAATTTTTATTTTCTTTTACTCTCGAATAATACTTGTTTCCTTTTATTATATTCACAGGCCTCGGATTGACTTTTTCGACTATTTTCGAAAACTCCGACTATTTCGATTTTTCTCTCAAGAATTTCATTATTCTCATAAATAATAAAATTCTTTAGAGCAATTAAATTATTATCAATACAATTTTTAAAAAAATTTCTCGAAAGAATACAATTATTTTTAAAAATACTAATTAAATTCGATTATTTGCAAGAATTTCAATATAAATTCAATTATTTTCAACAATTTTTATGAAATTCTTTTAAAAAAATACTTATTTTTACAATTTTTTATAAATTATTTTTATAAATTAAAAACTTCTTCGTAAGAATTCAATGATTTTCATAAATAAGAAAATTCTTCGCAAGAATTAAAATATTTTCATAAATAATAAAATGTTTCGGAAGAATTCAATTATTTTCATAAATAATAAAATGTTTTGGAGGAATTCAGTTATTTGCAATATAATTTTAATAAAATTTCTCGAAAGAATACAATTATTTTCAAAAATATTATTTAAATTCAATAATTTTCAAGAGTTTTAATAGAAATTAAATTATTTTCGACAATACTGATATAAAATTCTTCGTAAAAATTCAATTATTTTTATAAATTGTCAATTTCTTGCCAAGAATTCAATTTCTTTTGTAAATAATAAAATTCTTTTGAGAAATTAAATTATTTTCAATACAATTTTAATAATATACATTTTAAAATTAATAATATTGAAAATCATTGAATTCTTGCAAAGAATTTTATCTTTAATAATTTTAATTGAAAATTTTGATAGTAATTGAATTTTATGATCAATTTCTTACAAGTTTCTAAAAAAATTGTGTTTCTTGATAATTGAAAAAAATTTTAGAAAATAATTAAATTGTTGGAGAACTTTTTAGAATTTAATTAGAATTTTCTAAAATAATTTAAATCATTTAAGAAATTTTATTAAAATATAGAAATGAATTGAATTCTTTCGAAAAATTGTATTAAAAATGAGAAAAAAGAATTGTTTCGAAAGATTTTTTGAAATTTTAGAAAATAAATGAATTATTTTGAATAATTTTAAAACGAATTAAAAAAAAGTAAATTCTTTCGTGAAATTTTATTGAAAGTAATTGAATTTTTGCAAAGGTTTTACTATATAAAAAAATAATTGAATTGTTTCGAAGGATTTTTAAAAGTTTTTTAAGATAATAAGGTTTTTTGTGAAATTTTATTAAAAAATTTATAAAAATTGTCAATTCTTTTGTGAAATATTTTTAAAATTGCATAAAAAATAATTGAATTTTTGCGAAGAATTTTACTTTTTATAAGAATAATTGAATTTTTTCGAAGAATTTTTTGAAATTTTAGAAAATAATTGAATTCTTATGAAAAATTTTATAACGAATTAAAGAAAAAAATTGAATTCTTTCGTAAAATTTTATTGAAAGTTTTAAAAAAATTGAATTTTGGCAAAAAATTTTACTATTTATAAAAATAATTGAATTCTTGCGAAGAATTATATTTAAATTTTTGAAAATATAAACAATATTAATTACTTATGTACTTAATGAGTACATTTTTAAAATTTTGATTATGATATTATTAAAAAATTTATATTTTTGAAAATAATAAATTTTATAATTTGCTAAATTCTTGTAGGTAGAACTCCTCCCTCCGAGTGGAATCTTCTTTCAACCGATGAATCAAGGAATTGTTGAGGAAATAAAGAAACATTACAGAAGAAGTTTTTTGCGAGAAATTCTCCTTGAGTGCGATGACAACAGTCTATTGAAATTGGCAAACGCAATGACGATGAAAACTTGCTGTGTAAAAATGGCTTCTGCATGGTCGGAAATAAGCGATTCTCGGATTACCCACTCGTGGAGGAAATTGATACCGACTTGTAAAGTTGACACTGAAAATTCGGTTATAACTGTAGATGAAATTAAAGAGATTCTTCAGCGAATTCCATGTTATCGGAATATTACCAAAGAGCAAATATCCGCTTGGCTTCAAATAGATAGACATGAATCCGGTTGGAAACTTTTGAGCATCGAGCAAATTTTAGAGAGGTAAAATGTCAGACTATGATTTTTTTCTATTTATTTAATTACCACTGTAATTCTTGAAAAATTTATTGCAAAATTCAATTATTTTCAGGAATTTTATTCAATTTTTTGTCTAAATTTAATTTTCAGAAAGTTTTAAAAAATGTATTGAAAAATTCAATTATTTTCATGAATTTTAATAAAACTCTTTGCAAAGTTCAATGTTTTCAGAAATTTTAATAAAATTTTTGTCTAAATTCAATTTTCAGGAATTTTATTAAAATTCGTTGCAAAATTCAATTATTTTCATGAATTTTAATAAAATTTTTGTCTAAATCCAATTTTCAGGAATTTTTAAAAAAATTTATTGCAAAATTCAATTATTTTCAGGAATTTTAATAAAAAATTTTGTCTAAATTCAATTTTCAGGATTTTTTAAAAATTTTTGGAAAAATTCAATTATTTTCATGAATTTTAATAAAACTTTTTGCAAAATTCAATTTTTTTTCTGGAATCTTATTAAAATTCTAATACATTATAATAATCGTAAGTTTCCTTTCCGTTAGCAAATTATCTGCATTCATTTGTTTGTTATGAAAATTTAATTTTGTGGGTTAAGTATTGGTATTTTTTATATATTTTTTAATGACAAACTTTTAAATGTGGAAAATACTTTACTTATTAAATTGTCTCGACTCTTTGGTAAAAAATCTAAAATTATCAAAAATTCGAAAAATTTCAAAAATCCGTTTTTCTTAAAATTCAACATTTTTTCCTCTCTTTTATGGGATTTAGCTTCATTATTTTTGTGCTTTTGGAAAATACTTTACTTATTTAATAGTTCGACTCTTTAGCAAAAAATCTAAAATTATCAAAAATTCGAAAAAACTAAAAAATCCGATTTTCTTAAAATTCAACATTTTTTCTTCTCTTTTATAGGATTTAGCTTCATTATTTTTGTGCTTTTGGAAAATACTTTACTTATTAAATTGTCTCGACTCTTTGGTAAAAAATCTAAAATTATCAAAAATTCGAAAAATTTCAAAAATCCGTTTTTCTTAAAATTTAACATTTTTTCCTCTCCTTAATGGGATTTAGCTTCATTATTTTTGTGCTTTTGGAAAATACTTTACTTATTTAATAGTCTCGACTCTTTGGTAAAAAATCTAAAATTATAGAAAATTATCAAAAATTCAAAAATCCGAATTTCTTAAAATTCAACATTTTTTCTTCTCCTTAATGGGATTTAGCTTCATTATTTTTGTGCTTTTGGAAAATACTTTACTTATTAAATTGTCTCGACTCTTTGGTAAAAAATCTAAAATTATCAAAAATTCGAAAAATTTCAAAAATCCGTTTTTCTTAAAATTTAACATTTTTTCCTCTCCTTAATGGGATTTAGCTTCATTATTTTTGTGCTTTTGGAAAATACTTTACTTATTAAATTGTCTCGACTCTTTGGTAAAAAATCTAAAATTAATGAAAATTATCAAAAATTCAAAAATCTGAATTTCTTAAAATTCAACATTTTTTTCTCTCTTTTATAGGATTTAGCTTCATTATTTTTGTGCTTTTGGAAAATACTTTACTTATTAAATTGTCTCGACTCTTTGGTAAAAAATCTAAAATTATCAAAAATTCAAAAAATTTCAAAAATCCGTTTTTCTTAAAATTTAACATTTTTTCCTCTCCTTAATGGGATTTAGCTTCATTACTTTTGTGCTTTTGGAAAATACTTTACTTATTTAATAGTCTCGACTCTTTAGTAAAAAATCTAAAATTATCAAAAATTCGAAAAATTTCAAAAATCCGTTTTTCTTAAAATTTAACATTTTTTCCTCTCCTTAATGGGATTTAGCTTCATTACTTTTGTGCTTTTGGAAAATACTTTACTTATTAAATTGTCTCGACTCTTTGGTAAAAAATCTAAAATTATCAAAAATTCGAAAAATTTCAAAAATCCGATTTTCTTAAAATTCAACATTTTTTTTTCTCTTTTATGGGATTTAGCTTCATTATTTTTGTGCTTTTGGAAAATACTTTACTTATTAAATTGTCTCGACTCTTTGGTAAAAAATCTAAAATTATCAAAAATTCGAAAAATTTCAAAAATCCGTTTTTCTTAAAATTTAACATTTTTTCCTCTCCTTAATCGGATTTAGCTTCATTACTTTTGTGCTTTTGGAAAATACTTTACTTATTTAATAGTCTCGACTCTTTGGTGAAAAATCTAAAATTATCGAAAATTATCAAAAATTTAAAAATACGAATTTCTTAAAATTCAACTTTTTTTCCTCTCTTTTATAGGATTTAGCTTCATTATTTTTGTGCTTTTGGAAAATACTTTACTTATTAAATTGTCTCGACTCTTTGGTAAAAAATCTAAAATTATCAAAAATTCGAAAAATTTCAAAAATCCGTTTTTCTTAAAATTCAACATTTTTTCCTCTCTTTTATGGGATTTAGCTTCAATATTTTTGTGCTCTTAGAAAATACTTTACTTATTTAATTGTCTCGACTCTTTGGTAAAAAATCTAAAATTATCAAAAATTCGAAAAAATTCAAAAATCCGATTTTCTTAAAATTCAACCTTTTTCCCTATCTTTAATGGGATTTAGCTTCATTATTTTTGTGCTTTTGGAAAATACTTTACTTATTAAATTTTCTCGACTCTTTGGTAAAAAATCTAAAATTATCGAAAATTATCAAAAATTCAAAAATCCGAAATAAATAAAATTCAACATTTTTTCCTCTCTTTTATAGAATTTAGCTTCATTATTTTTGTGCTTTTGGAAAATACTTTAGTTATTAAATTGTCTCGACTCTTTGGTAAAAAATGTGAAATTATCGAATATTATCAAAAATTCAAAAATCCGAATTTCTTAAAATTCAACATTTCTCCCTCTCTTTTATAGGATTTAGCTTCATTATTTTTGTGCTTTTGGAAAATACTTTACTTATTAAATTGTCACGACTCTTTGGTAAAAAATGTGAAATTATCGAATATTATCAAAAATTCAAAAATCCGAATTTCTTAAAATTTAACATTTTTTCCTCTCTTTTATAGGATTTAGCTTCATTATTTTTGTGCTTTTGGAAAATACTTTACTTATTAAATTGTCTCGACTCTTTGGTAAAAAATCTAAAATTATCAAAAATTCGAAAAAATTCAAAAATCCGATTTTCTTAAAATTCAACATTTTTTCCTCTCTTTTATAGGATTTAGCTTTATTATTTTTGTGCTTTTGGAATATACTTTACTTATTATTAAATTGTCTCGACTCTTTGGAAAAAAATAAAAAATTATTAAAAATTATCAAAAATCCGAAAAATTGAATTTCTTAAAAAAATTCAACATTTTTTTTCTCTTTTATACCATTTAGCTTTATTATTATTTGAATTTTTATTCAAGAGAAAAAATGGAAAACTGAAAAAATTTAGAATTTTTTAAAAATTACAGGCCTTTTCCATTATTTCCCTGATTTCCAGAAGCCTTTTAAAAATTCCATACCATTTCCATGATTTCCAGATTCTGTAGGAACCCTGCTTTTGTTTGACTTTCTTCTAAATTATCGAATTCAGTGATTTCTGGGGTGAATTTGGTTAAGTTGTAAAATGATTAATTTCTATTTGAATTCGTTTTTTTTGAATGTAGAAAATCTGATGTTAATTTAATTCTTTTTTCGTTATGCACGGCAAAAAATATTTAGCTGGATGAACTACAGATTTCACTTTAGTTGCGAAATTATTCAGTGCTTCAATTAATACTTTCGTTATTCTAGAGAAAATTATCGCTATTTCAAGTAAAACTTTTTTCAGTGTGTAATAATTATTATTTCTTTAAAAAGTATTTAATTTAAAATGGCTTTATAAAATAAGCAATGCAAAAGATGACCCAGATACTAATTGTAATTGTTCTAGCCATAGTTTAAGTCTATAGTAATGTAAATTCTATTTAAATTGAGACCATTGAGTGAAATTATTTGAATTTTAGTTAGTTAAATCTCTTTGTTAGGTTATAATAATTATTTCTTTAAAATTTTTTAAATTGTTTAAAATAAGCAGCCCTATACAACATTCCCGCGCGCTTGCGCGCGGATAGTTTGGCTAGTTCATCTATAATTTTAATAAAACTCTTTGCAAAATTCAATTATTTTCAGAAATTTCATTCAAAACTTTTGCCAAATTTAATTATTTTAAGGAATTTAATTAAAATTCATTGCAAATTTTAATAATTTTTCAAAGATTTTACTAAATTTAAATTATTATTTAAAAAGATTTTACGAAATTTGAATTTAAAAAAAAAATTTTTAATTGTTACGTAATTGTAAAACTATTGCGTCTTTCAAAAATTTTTTAGAAATATTTTTAAAAAGTTAATTTTACGAATTTATCTATTAAAATTTTTGAATATATTCTACATTAATATTCTTTAAAAAGAAAAATGAACGGTTTCAATTATTATAAAAAATTGAATTTTTGTATTTAAATAATTGAATTCTTGAAGAACTTTCAGAAAAATATTAAAAAGTAATATATAGATAATTAATTTAGAAATGAAGTTTAGTTAAAAATTGTAGAAAATAATTGAATTTTTGTAAGAGTCATAGTTTTAATTTTTATAAATTATTAAATTTCAGAATTTGAAATTGTTTAAATTTTATTTCCTGGTGAAAAAAGAAATAATAAGTATTTAAATATTTTATTTAGCAAAATTATATAAGTTTTGATTATGTAATTGAATTTAGAAATCAGTGAAGAATCAGGGAAATAGAAAATAAAATATTTGTGACAACACTAAATTAAATAAACGACTTTTTCGACTTTTTTTTTTATTTTTAATCGACTAAAGTGACTTTTTTTGTTCGTTAAAGTCGATCCGAGGCCTGAGTTATAGTAAAAATACTCTTATAATATAAAATAATGATTAATATCTCGATTGTTATTATATAATTTTTTTCCCATTTTTTTCACAGTATTCATGGAATTAAGACTGAATTCGAAACAATGTCGACAGACAGTGTCGAAATGGAATTCGAAGACGTTCCAAAAGAAGAATACGATCCACTTGATCTTCAAGTTGAAGCGACAGAAGCTTATCAGAGATTTCAAGAGTTTCGCGATTGGTTTCAAAAACAGTGGGAATGTGGTCCGGAACATGTGATAATGCTCGAGAAAATTAATGACATTACAAAGGACATTATTTCACGAAAAAGTATTTAATTTTTTTTGTTTCTTTCTGTGAATAGTTTTCTAAAAAAAAATCGAAAATATGATTTATATTTTTTCAAAATGTAAACAAGCCAGTTGTCTGAGTTTTTCATCTTTATTTTTTTACAAGATTTTCAGACACCGGTTTCAATTCAATCTACGAAAGCAAAGGGGAGCTAAATTCATTCCTTCCAATCCGCCCACGATTTTTTTGAATAGTTCCACTTCAGAACGGATCATATCAGGATGATTGGTCGACAATTCTTCGCTGGTTTATTTTAAGGTAAGATTTTAATATTTTCCATTTCCTTCAATTTTTATTTTCAATCGAATACTTACACTTTTCTGCAGTTCGAAAATTGGCGAAATTTGAAAATTTTTATTTTATTTAAAAATATATTGAAAACTCGTACATAAATAAACAATTTAAAGCAATTAATTAAGAAAAATTATTCAATTTTTTCTATTAATTATTCAAGAATTGTCCAGGAATAATTCTTTGAATTCTTTAAAGAATTCAAAGAATAATTTTTAGAATTCTTTAAAGAATTTAACAAATAATTCAATGGATTTTTCAAAGAATAATTCGAAGAATCATTCAAAGAATCATTCAAAGAATAATTCGAAAAACAATTCGAAAAATAATTCGAAGAATAATTCGAGGAATCATTCAAAGAATAATTCAAAGAATAATTCAATGAATAATTCGAAGAATCATTCAAAGAATAATTAATTGAAAAATAATTGACGTAATTTTCTCCAATTTACAAAACTAAATAATTACTAATTACTATAATTAATTGATTTTTCATTTACTTTTGAATTATTAATTAAACAAAATTGATTCAAAACTGAATACTTGGTTTGAATCCGCGTTGTAACGCTTCTGGCGGAACTGGAGAACCATGAAATGAATGGGAATCATATTCTTCCTCCCTGTGTGGTAAATGATCATAAACTTGCTGATAGGGATTGTAAAACTGTGAATCGTGAGGAATTCTATTACTCGGCCACTCTTCGGAATGATGTTGATTAATATCATTGTAATTGAAATGATCATGTAGTGGAGGATATTCACTACTTGTGAAATACAGATCATGAATATTCTGCGTATATCCTCCATAATATCCAGGATGTGATAGATAAGTGGCATTATTTTGCACAGGATTTTGAGTAGTGTTATTCATATTTTTAGAATTGTTATTAATTTCAGTTGTTGTAACAATCATTGGAGTCATTGTCGTTTTCTTCATTGTTGGTCTCTTAGTAGTGGTTTTTTGTTTTTGTCTCGAGAATTTCGACGGTGCGGAAACTTTATTTGTTTTCACTGGTGGTGTCTTTGTCGGTGGAACAAATACATCTACATTCGGTTCTTCTACTTCGTAATCTTCTTCATTTTCTTCTTCAGTCTCTTCATTATCCTCGATTTCTTCATTTTCTTCTTCTTCATCTTCATCCTTCTCTTTTGTCTGTATTTTTGTAATTTCTCTCATTTTATCCCGAATAGAATTTTTCTGCAATTGTATATATATTTTGAAACATAAAAATATAAAATACAAAATTTTGTAAAGTTAATTGAGTTTCAGAATTGGTGCTAAACTTAATCAAGGTTGCCACAAAAACTTAACTTTGTTTTTCTCTGACTCTTCCCTGGTTTTCAGACAGAATTTTAACTTTTTCTCTCAAGCTAAAGAATTGTAAAATTATTCGAAAACATTAATAGCTTCATTTTTAAATGAATATTTAATCATTATTATCTTTCCATACGAATTAAAATTCTCCAAAAGTTTCAAATTCAAACCTTTTTGAAATTCAACAACTTAAAAAAATATTGATTATAAAATATGAAGATGTCGATCTCTCCGAGTCTTCGACTCGGAGTGATCGATTTCTTTATGTTTTATAATAATTAAAGATGGCCCAGTGATAAAATTATTATTTTATATAAAAATATTGTTACTCTAACTACTTCAAAATTATTTTCATCATTTCAATTCAATTATTATTTTCTAGAATTTTCAACTATAATTCTTCTTTAAATCAATTATTTTTAATGATTATTGAAAAAGTTCTTTGGGAACTTTTAAATATATTTGTTTACGATTCAATTTTATCATAAATTTCGATTATTTGGAAATTCTTCATTGTTAGTTTAAAATCCGAAAAATTTAGATTTTCAAAAATTTTAATATGAAACCTTTTCAAAATTCAATTATTTCTAAAAATTCATCATCTAATGCTACTAGTATTCAATTATTTTCTAAAGTTAAAACTGAAATTCATTTTTAAATCAAATTTTATTAGAAAATTAATTAAAATATTTAATTGGAAAATTTTTGAACTGAAAATAACAGAATTCTTGCGACAAAGTTTATTAAAATTTTTAAAAAATAATTGAATTTTTGCGAAGAATTTTATTTAAATTTTTGATAAATAATAATTCTTGTAAATAATTATTGAATTGAGGAAAATTTTCGAAAATAATTGAAATTATGCCAAGAATTTTATTAGAATTTTTGAAAATAATTGAAATTATGAATTTTATTAAAGTTTTTGAAAATAATTGAATTTCGGAGAAGAGTTTATTTATTTATAAACATAATTGAAATCTAGTCGAAAATTTTTATAAATTTTTAACATAATTGAATTTTTGCGAAGAATTCTATTAAAAATTTTTATAATAATTGAATTTATTCATTGAATGATATTGAAATCCTTGAAAATAATTCAATTCTTTAAAGGAATTTTGTTAAAATTGAAAGTGTTTTAATTGCTTATAAATATTTTTATTAAAGTCTTTTGAAAGAAATTGAATTGTTTCCAAGAAATTCATTAAAATTTTTAAAAATAATTGAATATTGTTGAGAAATTTTATTAAAATTATATTCGAAATAATTGAATTTTTGTGAAGAAATTTAATATTCAATTATTATCTAAAATTTTTACCGAAATTCATTTTGAAATAATTTTTTATTAAAAATTCTACGAGAATTCAATTATTTAAACATAGAAAGAAATAATTTATTGCATGATTGAATGTTTCTTAGAACTGAATTTTTATGAAGAATTTTATTAACAACTTTTGAAAATAATGAATTTCTTTTAAGGAATTTAGTTAAAATTTTACAGAAATTTATTAAATTAAAGAATTTGATCACAACTTTTGAAAATAATTGAAAACTTTTGAAGAATTTTATTAAAATTTTTAAAAATTGCATTCATAAGAAGAATTTAAATAATAATTTATCAAAATAATTGCAATCTTGCGTAGAATTTTATTAAATTTTGTTAAAATAATTGAAATTTGGCCAAGAATTTTATTGACATTTTTAAAAATAATTGACTTCTTGAGAAGAATTTTGCCACCTATTTATAAAAATAACTTAATTTTTGACAAGATTTTTCAAAAAATTTGAAAATAATTTAATTTCTGCAAAGTATTTTATTAGTTTTCAAAAGAATTGAATTCTTGTAATAGATTTTGATAATATTTATCAAAATAATTGAATTTTGGAAAAGAATTTGATCAAAATTCCTTAAAATAATTGATTTTACGGTAAGAATTTTGTTGTTTATTGTGATAATTGAATTCTTTTGCAAAATTACTTAAAAATTTTTGAAAAAATATATTTTCAGCGACGAATTAAAAGTTATTTAGGAAAATAATTGAATTATTGCCACGAATTTTATTATTTTATTGAATAATTGAATCTTTCTCAAAATTGAATTTCGTTCGTCGAGTTTTAAGAAAATTTTTAAGAATAATTGCTTTTTTTGAGGAATTTATTTAAAAATTTATTAAAAATATTTGAAATTCTGCGATGAAAATAATTTAATTCCTAAAAGAAATTTTATTCTTTATGAAAATAATAATTGAATGTTTTCATAGAATTGTATAAAAAATTTTTTTCCAATAATTAAATTTTGTGATAAATTTTATGCAAATAGTAAATATTAAAAATCATTGAATTGCAAAAAATTTTTGAAAATAATTGAATTTCGCAAAGAATTTTATTAAAAAGCCTAAAAATAATTTAATTTCAGTGAAGAATTTTGTTATTTATGAAGATAATTAAGTTAAAACTTTGGAAGTAATTAAATAATATTAAAAACTTAATTCTTGTCAAAAATAGAAAAATTTTTTGAAGGTTTTGTATTAGAATTCATGGTAACTTCATATTTTATGAGGCAAACTAAAAAAAACACAGAAATTCAGAATTTTCTTAAGAATTCTAGAAATTTAATTTTTTCCAGTACTTTTAATAAAAATTCCTAACTTTTTCCTGATTTCCCTGACTTGTGACAACCCTGTTAATTATAAAATTTAAAATTCACAAAATTATTAAAATTGGTGCGCATTCTTTAAAAAGACGAAAAATTAAGTTACCTGTTTTTTGTCCAAAGGGACTTTTTCAATTATACGTTCCTCGATAGTGTTATTCTCGTTCTTTCGATTTTCAGTTACGAAATTAAAGCCTTGACTCATTCTGTCGTCATCATTATTGTCCGATTGTTGAGAAAATGGAAAATTATTTTCGTTTGGAAGTTTTTGTGAATTCAAAAGTGGAATCAAACTGAGTAGATTAGAATAAATGTAGGTTTGAGGATAAAATGGAAATGGCTCGTAAACGGCGGCAAAATAGGGACTCAATTTTGTCGGTGATGAATTTTGAGACAATAATAGTGATGATTCTTTGGCGCTATTGAAATTAATCGATGATGTTCCATTTGACATTTCGTCATTTTGTCGAAGTCCTGCCAGGAAAGCCAGTCTTCCGAAAAATTTCGGTAACCGTTGTCCAAATTTATTTAGAAAAGTTTCTGACGTTTTATTTTTTGCATTATTGGGAACAGTTGTCATTTCTTTCACTCCCAATGGTATTTCTGTTGGAAAATGTATTTTATCTGTTGGATTTGTATTCGATTCGTGGAAGAAAATTGGCATTTGGGTTGAAATTGCTTCTTGATCATGAATCACATTATAAACAGGTGTAACAATTTCGAGTAAATTCGTTGCTTCAGTTGTTAATGAATCTCTTGCAGTCAGAATAAGAGGGATTCTTGAGCAATAAATCGCTGAAAATCGTATTTTAATTAAATTACAAAATTGCTTTTAAAATTCGGAAATATTAAGGGTGTTTGCGTTTTTTTGATTAAAAGCAAATTATAGTGATTAATAATTAAGCGTTATTATTAGTAACTAAAAAATTATTAATAATAATGCTAATTTTCCATTAGCTGCAAGTAATACAGAAAATGTGAATTTGCTTCATAATTTTAATTTAAAGCGAACAGTAGTAAAAAAATAGTTTAATAATTTCACTTGTTATGTTAACTGTAGCGTAAAGTTTATTACTCACAATTATGAAGAACAATCACAAAAAAGTAAATAGCTTGTAAAAAAGCCATGTTTTTCACTCTGGGATTAGCGAAAGACTGTAAAAGTGAATTAGAACTTCGTTTGAATCGAAATTATGCGGGTATAATAAGGTACGCATTTTTTTTAGAAAGTGACCCGGTAATACAGATTTAATTGAAACATTAAAACATTTTTTATTTAAAGGCCGCTTTATAAATCTACGTTTTGATGGGGGTAGTTGAACAGGAAGTGAATTAGATATAATATTGTAACGGTGTTCGATAAAAGGGTCTACTTTCACACAATAATCAATTTAAGTCCATTGTCAGGGAATTCAGGAAAAGTAGAATTGGTCAGGGAAATTAGGGAAAAATCAGGAATTTTTATTAAAAGTACTGGAAAAAATTAAATTATTAGAATTCATAAGAAAATTCTGAATTTTTGTGTTTTTTTTGGGTTTCTTTCATAAACTATGAAATTACCACGAATTCTAATACAAAACCATCAATTTTTTCTATTTTTGACAATAATTTATTTTTAAATAGCTTCATTCTTGAAGAACTATCATAAAATAATTACTTAGAAATTATTTAATAAATAATTTTTATAAAATATTTCAAAATTAATTGAATTTTAAAAGAGTTGGTTTTACAATTTTCATAAATTGATGAAATTCAAAAGGTTTCAATTTGAAAATTTATAAAATTTAAATTTTGAATGAATTTAATTAGAAATTTTAAAGAACTTAGATTTTTAAAAAATTCTAATAATTCAAATTCATCTGAAATTAGTTAAATTTTTCAATATATATATTTAATTAATTATTAAAAATAATGGATTTATAGATGAATTTCAGTAAAAAACACTAAAAAATTTGAATTTTTGAGAAATTGTAAATAATTGAAAAAATTCAATTTTTTTTCCAAAATTTGTTAATAAAATTCTTCATAAAAATTCAGTTTTAAGAAACATTTAATTATTCAATAAATTATTTCTTTTTGCGTTTAAATAATTGAATTCTCGTAGAATTATCTAATAAAAAATTATTTAAAAATTAATTTCAGTTCAAATTTTAGATAATAATTAAATATTAAAATTCCTCACAAAAATTCAATTATTTTCAGTACAATTTTAATAAAATTTCTCGACAATATTCAATTATTTTTAAAATTTTTAATGAATTTCTTGGAAACAATTCAATTACATTGAAAAGACTTTAATAAAAATATTTATAAGCAATTAAAACAGTTTCAATTTTAACAAAATTCCTTTAAAGAATTGAATTATTTTCAGGAATTTCAATATCATTCAACGCATAAATTCAATTATTTTCAAAAATTTTAATAAAATTCATAATTAGAATTATTTTCGAACATTTTCCTCAATTCAATGATTTTCAAAATCTATTCTATTTTAATAAAATTTTCCAAAAAAATTAAACTATTAAGGGCATTTGAACCATGATGACGTCACAGATTTAAAACTAATGCTTTGCACAAACTGTGACGTCATCAAGGTTCAAATCCCCTTAAAAAAAAATTAATAAAATTCTACTCAAATATTTAATTATTTTCATAAATAATAAAAATTTCACAGGAATTCAATTATTTAAAAATATTTTTATAAATTCCATCGCAATAATTAAATTATTTTCATTAATAATAAAATAATAGTAAGGAATTCAATTATTTTTATAATTTTTATTAAAATTCTTGGCAGGAATTCAATTATCTTTCAAGATTTGTTATTACTTCTTGGACAGAATTCAATTATCTTTGTAAATAACAAAATTTTTTGAATAAATTTAATTATTATCATAATTTTTAGTAAAATTCTGTGCAAAAATTCAATTATTTTCAAGTCTTTAATAAAAATCTTTATAAAGAATTAAATCAGTTTCAATTTTAACAAAATTCCTTTAAAGAATTGAATTATTTTCAAAAATTTTAATATAATTTCACGCAGAAATTCAATTATTTTCAAAAATTTTAATAAAATTCTTCGCAGAAATTTAATTATTATTCAAAAATTTTAATAAACTTCGACGCAAGAATTCAGTTATTTTCAGTAAAAAAATTATCCAATTAAATAATTCTATTAAAAAAGAAATTAAATTTTTGTGGCAACTCCTACTATTGTTTTGCAGAAAAATCGGAAGAATAAAACGAAACTTATTAGGACATGTAAAAGTAGTTATTTTTTTGATCGATTGATTTTAATTAATTAATTTTTTAATTTTAATTAATTTCAATTAAATTTTTATCGATTTTCGAACTTAGTGCGGTCCTCAACTGTACAGTTTTAAGAAAAAAAATTCTCTTCCTTCATCAAACGTGGAATTTCAAAGAACGCGCTTATCGAAAGATTTCTGGACTAAATCAGGTACCTGAAGGTGTCGTTTTTAGGTTCGTCTTGTCTCAAATTAGAATCAGCCTTTACAATAATTAATCTTCTTCAAAAATCTTTCTAATTTTTTTTCTAAGTAGACAAGTTTTGTTTCTTTTTCAATTTTCATTTTCTTTTTCCTTGAAGTTTGTAAAGAACGCCAGTTTTCTATTCAAATTTTCAAAAATAAATTTTATAAATTTTCCCAAATGATGCACCTAACCTAATACCTAGTTAGCTGAAGTATAACCTTACCTGAACTATTTATTTACAAATTTAATCCCTTTGGGCCTCTGTCAGTTCTCTGCAATAAAAATTACATTTAAAAGGAACAAAATGGATTGCGATGACAAATCGGATGCAACTGAATATGAAATAAATCCAAAATATAATTTTGCAACAAAAGAAAAACAAGAAGCTCGTGCACTTCTTCGTGAACGTTTTCTTAGAGTAATTACCGGCGTTGTTGGTAATTATTAACTTAATTTTTTCATCCTTCTTTTGAGAAAGTAAAAAATATTTTAAACAAATTTTCTTCTTAGGTAAACAGGCAGAATTCTCAATGCATGAAAATACGAAAGTAACGGCAGAATTTCGAGGATGTGATACTGATTGTCAGGAGGTATTTGTTCGTAATTTAACAACACCTTTAGGCAAAATACCGGCAGCAATTCTTAGAGCATCGGATATTATTTCTCTGGAAATTGAACAATTACCACTTCCTGATAGTGGATAATTTTTCGGGGGAAAATGAACCAAAATTTTTACGATTATTTTGTTTATTATATTCAAATAGGCAGTTTTTTTAAAGCAATTATACTTATGTGTATAGGTAGATTATTTCTAAGATCGTCGCATAGTTAACATTGTATTTATTTCGGATATAATGCGCCTCAAGTGATCGATTATTTCCTTGAGATGCCTGTTTTTCAAGATGACTTGCTGCAAGATAAAAGAATTGTATTTTATAATAAAGAAGGAGAAAATAAATAATGCAGGGCTCGAACTAGATCCGATAATTCCGTAAAGTCCATTTTTTTTTAAAAAAAAAAGGTCCGTAAAGTCCGTAATTTTATTCAAAAAGAATGAAAATTAAAATTTCACAAGAATTTCATTATTTACAAATTTTTTTTATAAATTTCTTCCCAATCATTCAATTATTTTCAAAAATAATAACATTTTTACGGAGATTCAATTATTTTTGTAAATAATAAAATTCTTTTTAGAAATTCAATTATTTTCATATAATTATAATAAAATTCATTGCAGAATTTCAATTATTTTTAATACAATTATTTCAATCGAATTCCTCAAAAAAATTGTTAAAAATTTCATTAAAATTCGTCAAAAGAATTCAGTACTGAATTAGATCAAATTCTTTATGAGAATTCAATTTTTAGGAACATGAAATTATTCAATAAATTGTTATTTTTGTATTTAAATAATTGAATTCTAGTAGAATTTTCTCATAAACATTAATTTAAAAATGGATTTCAGTTAAAATTTTAGATTATAATTGAATTTTAAAAGCATTAGAGCGTAAATTTTTAGAAACAATTGGATTTTGAAAAGGTTTTAGATTTAAATCTTTGAAAATTGGAATTTTTCATATTTTTAACTAACAATTCCGTGGAATTAATTTTTTTTTGAGAAACTTTAATTGCGGATTTTTTTTTGTAATTTTATTTTCTAATATATATATATTTAATTGAAGAATTTACGAATAATTGAAATTTTGTAAAATTGAATTGTAAACAAATGAATTTGAAAGTTCTTAAAGAACTTTTTCGAAAATCATTAAAAATAATCGATTTAAAGAAGAATATCAGTTAAAAATTCTTGTAAATAATAATTGAATTCTAAATGATTTTATCTCTCAATCACATTTAATTATTATAAAAACAACCAAGTGATAAAATTATTATTTTATATAAAAATATTGTTACTCTAACTTTTTTGAAATTATTTTCATCATTAAAATTCAATTATTACTACTTTCTAGAATTTTTTAATAATATTCTTATTTAAATCAATTATTTTTAATAATTCTTGAAAAAGTTCTTTGGGAATTTTCAAATCCATTTGTTTACAATTCAACTTTACCATAAATTTCGATTATTCGGAAATTCTTCATTGTTAATTAAAAATGCGAATAATTCAAATTTTCAAAAATTTTAATTTGAAATTTTAATAAATTTTTTAACATTGAATGATATTGAAATCCTTGGAAATAATTCAATTCTTTAAAGGAATATTGTTAAAATTGAAACTATTTTAATTGCTTATAAATATTTTTATTAACGTCTTTTCAAAGTAATTGAATTGTTTCCAAGAAATTCATTAAATTTTTTAAAAATAATTGAATATTGTCGAGAAATTTTATTAAAATTGTATTGAAAATAATTGAATTTTTGCGAAGAATTTTAATATTCAATTATCTAAAATTTTAACCGAAATTTCTTTTAAAATAAATTTTTATTAGAAAATTCGACCAGAATTTAATTATTTAAACACAAAAATAATTTATTGAATAATTGAATCTTTCTTAAAATTGAATGTTTATGAAGAATTTTATCACAATTTTTGAAAGTAATTGAAAACTTTTGAATAATTTTATTAAAATTTTTAAAAATTGCATTCATGAGAAGAATTTAAATAATAATTTATGAAAATAATTGCATTCATGCGAAGAATTTTATTAAACTTTGTTAAAATAATTGAAATTTTGCCAAGAATTTTATTGAAATTTTTGAAAATAATTGACTTCTTGAGAAGAATTTTGCTACCTATTTATAATTACATAACTTAATTTTCGACAAGATTTTTTCAAAAATTTTGAAAATAATTTAATTTTTGCAAAGTATTTTATTAGTTTTCAAAAGAATTGAATTCTTCTGATAGATTTTGATATTTATCAAAATAATTGAATTTTGGAAAAGAATTTTATTAAAATTTCTTAAAATAATTGATTTTACGATAAAAATTTTGTTGTTTGCTGAGATAATTGAATTCTTTTACAGAATTACTTAAAAATATAAAAAAATAATTGACTTTCTGCGACGAATTAAAAATTATTTATGAAAATAATTGAATTATTGCAACGAATTTTATTGAATTAATTGAATGTTTCTTTAAAATTAAATTCTTTCGTCGAGTTTTAAGAAAATTTTTAAGAATGATTGCATTTTTTTGAGGAATTTATTTAAAAATTGTATTAAAAATATTTGAAATTCTGCCATAAAAATAATTCAATTCCTAAAAGAAATTTTATTCGTTATGAAAATAATAATTGAATGTTTTCGTAGAATGTAGGTATAAAAAAATTTTTTCCATCAATTAAATTTTGTGATAAATTTTATGAATTAAATTTTTAAAAATTGCATTCATGAGAAGAATTTAAATAATTGTAAATAATAATTGAGTTGTAAATGATTTTATCACCCGGTCATCTTCATGTTTTATAGTTATGAAAAATTTAATTTATAGTTTCAAGTAAAATGTTCTCTTATTTGACTCATATTTTTGTCAGTAAGTTTTGGTTCGTAATTTTTAATTTTTGGTCCGTAAAGTCCGTAATTTTAAATACTTTCACTGTTTCGAGCCCTGGTAATGTAAAGTTAGCGTCGACGCTAATTCTTCTTTTCGATTTTAAAAAAATTATCTCAGCGTCGACACTAACTTTAGGAATATTTAAAAATAAACACAAACCTCCATGACTTCTTTGCTTTCTTCATAAACGAGTCGATAAGCTTCGGACGATTTCTTTTCATCTGACTTCATGTCCCATTCCTCCTTGAGTGGAATTAAACTTTCAATATGCGTATACTCCATTCCCGATTGGCAACTCTCGTTACATTTTTCGTAAATTAATCTCAATCGATTGAATAATAAATTTAACGTTCTCAAGTGTTCCGTGACTTTTGCTTTCTTTTCGTTTGCAATTGTGGAGCCCTGTGCAGTGCCATTGGGTGGTTGAAGAACTTTTAATGTTTGAAATAATTCTTGTGTCCTGCTGACAATTTCCTGCACTGTTTCTTGACCAAATCGACAAAGACTGGCAGTGTTAATATCCTTACCGGGTTGCTTTTGTGCCTGTGGTGGTTGAGTTGGTGGAACTGGAGTTTGAGGAGTTGTGGCTGCACTGCCACCCTGACTATTCTGTTGTACCAAAGCGACTTGTTGTTGCTGCTGTTGCATCTGCATTTGTTGTTGCTGCTGCTGTTGTTGTTGCTGTTGTAAGTGCTGCATTTGCTGAAGAGCATTGGTCTGTTGTTGTTGTTGCTGTGCGAGAACTTGTTGCGCACTAAGCATACCCATTGTATTGGAACTAACGCCCGTACCAACGCCGGGACCGAATTGCTGTGGATTCACCATTCCTGGAGAAGTAGAATTACTTTGTTTATTAATTTTAGTTAAAAAAAAATTGATTAATAATTAAACAAAATTCAACCTCCTTGTTGGGGTCCCATTAAACTTGAAACCATTTGACCGCCTCCAAATTGATTGCGCATTGTCGATTGTTGGGTATTTGGGAATCCTGATGGAAATGGATGTTGTTGTCCTGACATCTTGTAGATTTAAGTCTAGTAATTAAATTTTTAATCAATTTTTTTTTATAATTTCTTCGGGGCAATATTCAGATTCTATTTAATTACGCTTTTGTAAAATTACGATTCTACGAAAAAACGATTCGCATAAATTAGATTTCTGGAAAATTGAAATTCGATCAAATTGACTTTCTGCCAGATTATAATTCGGACGAATAAATATTCTACCAAAATGATATTCTAGGTAATAAAATTCTATTAAATAACATTTCTAACAATTCTGGTTTAGGGTCTTTTCATGCGCCCCATTAAAATATTTATTGTGCAAAGAGCAATCAGAACTTCGAAATTTAATTTTTTAATTCACACAGTAATCAGTGCTATGAGAAAAAGTACTCAGTGCTTCCAGATTTATTCAAACTTAAATATCAAAACAGAAAATTACTAAGTAGATTCAATATTTTGGCTTATAATACTAATTTTTATACCATTTTTTACTGAATAATAATTTTTACTATAATAGAATTGTTTCAGTTATTATTGAGAAATATTAAAGTGAAAAGTGTAATTATTCCATATGACATATACCTTTAAAAACACGCCTAGAAAATTGCCGGAAGGATAGTATCTTCTGAGTATTGGCTTATAAATATAGTTGTTAGGATTACATTAAGTATCACAGTTTTTAGTAAAAATTTCACAAAATTGACAAGTGGATGCATAAAGATAAACAAGTAGGTAAAAATAATTATTGTTTACATGCGTCATTCGCGCACCCCAAAAAAAGCCGTCTGCTAAATTTTTTAAGGTTAGGTTAACACTTGTCCTGAAGCACTTGAAGTTGTCTGCGCAAGCTAGTCCGACCTTGATTTACATGATTTACATCATTTTACATGTTGATCTGGTTGATCTCTATTAAAATTACAAATTATTTAAAGCTTATTATTATTGATAAAAATGAACACACAAAAATATCAAATTTTAATGATACCATATCATAAAGTGAATTCGAATATTTAAAAAGAAATTAAGTCACAAATAACCTTACAAAATATTTTCACATAATATACAAACTAGAAGGTAAACTTCTCGTTTTGAAAGTTGAACAGTTTTGATAATATAATTGAATATAATCTACCTCTTTTGATATTAAGTTTCTATTTTGATGCCTTTTTGACATTGAATGCCTTCTGGGATATTAAGATCATGTCAAAGTCAAGGCAGTTTTTCCATTGGAGTTTTCATGTAAAAATCTACGACTTAGACATGACCTTAATGTCAGCAGTGATGTATTTAAACAAGATCTTGGTACCAAGGGTACCAAGATTATTATTTGCAAAATAAATTTTATTTAGCCCGAACAACGATTTTATTTGTGCTAAATATAATTTTTATTTAAAACAAATAATTTAGTTGATTGACAAAATAAATTTTACTGTATATTCAAAGTATATTTTACTAATTTTCAATAATTTACAAGCGACTATTATAAAATTGCTTTTTTGTTTCATAATATATCTAAAACAATTTTTCTTTTTAAATGTTTTTAATTTTTAAATTATAATATATTAAAAATCATTGAATTCTTGGAAAGAATTTTATCAAAAAGTTTGAAAATAATTTAATTCCTTCTGAGAATTTTATTATTTATGAAAATAATATTGAATTCTTGCGAAGAAAAATTAATTTATTTTATCAAAATTTTTTGTTAAATAATTAAATTTTTTATTAAAATAATTGATAGAAAATTAAATTTTTTTATTTTAAATAATTTTATTAGAGTTTTTCTTTTGTAGAATTTCTTTGATTTTTTTTTTTTTTTTTTTGAAATAATGGAGTTTCTTTAATAATTTTAAATGAAAATTTTCAAATTACTTGAATTTTATGAAGAATTTCTTTCAAGTTTTTAAAATGATCGTTTTAGTATAATAATTAGCATTAAGCTTTAGTTTAAAACATTTTTATTAGGTATTGATTATTATTTTATTATTGAATTTTATTCAAAATTTTAGAAAACAAATTCTTCTCAGAATTTTATTACAATTTTGTAAAATAATTTAATTCATTTAAGGAATTTTTTTGAAATATTGAAAATCATAATTGAATTTTTAAAAAAAATTTCTTTAATATTTTTAATATTGTCGATTTTGTTAGTAATTTTAATAATTTAATTCTTGTGAAGATTTTTATTATTTATAATAATTAAAAATTTTATTATTGAATTTTATAAAAATTGCATTGAAAATAATTGAATTCCTGAGAAGAATTTCATTGTTTATAAAAAATAATTTAATTCTTGTGAAGAATTTTATTATTTATAATAATTAAAAATTTGATTATTGAATTTTATTAAAATTTCATTGAAAATAATTTAATTCCTGAAAAGAATTTTTTTATTGTTTGTATAAAAATAATTGAATCGTTTCGAAGAATTTATTAAAAATAAAACATTTCTCCAGTTTTAAATTTATTTATTCTTTGTTAGTTAAATATTTTAGTATTTTTTAAAAGGTTTTAAAAATTCAAAAAGCAGAAATTTTTTCACATACACATGCTATGGGAAAAAAAATAAATGACCCCCTTCGAAATCTAATTTGCCTAAAAGCGTAAAATGAAATTTAATTAATGAAATTGAATACTTAGGATTTGAAAAATATTTTTATTATTTTATATATATATATATATATAGACAATTGCAACAATTATCACAGATTATTTTGAAATTGTTAAAAATATAAATTCACCTATTGATAAATTTGTCATAAATTTATATGTATATACAATTAAATTATAATTAAACATAATATTAAAAATAATAATTTACATGATCGTATATAAGAAAACGTAAAATAAAGATTTGCAAAATCTTTCTCTCTTTGATATTAATACTAATTCAAACTCTCGCCCAGTACAATATTTTATGAGAGCAATAATGTTCGAATTAAATTTAGTGGAATAAAAGACTTAAATTTCTACACATTAATAGGTAATAATAAAAATAAATAATAATAAATGTAAAAATTTATTATTATTATTTATTAATATTTTACGAGGCACTTATGTTTTTCTTCACTAATAAGTCACTAATGTCTTTAAAGAAAATATTTTCATTAAATACTAATAACACCTACCAATTTTCAATTTTAACAAATATTTTGTAGAATTTTTTTTTCTATATAGGCCTTTACGAACATTCATACTAATGTTTATGAATATTCACAATTATTCTAAAATTTTTTTTCTATTTATGTATTTTAATATGTACAGAGGAGAGGTTTCAGAGTCTCTAAACAAAAAAATGATTTTAAGTTTTCGAAAAGTAAAATTATAACTAATATTGCAATTAGAATAAAAATAGTGTAAAATATAAAAATTAAGAATGGAAATTGTTAAATATAGGAATTAACAATTTTTTTAAATGTAACAATTATTAAGAATAGAAATTTATAAAATACTAAAAGTACCTTCAGTATTATTTGATTAAAAAGAAGAAAATAACAGTCTATTTTTGTTTGATTAATTAATTAATTAAAAAGTTAACGATTTTCTTTAAAAATGAGAATGTAATAACAATGAATGAAAGACTAAACTAAATGAATTCTTTAAAATATTTGTAAATATTAAATATTAATTATTAAGACATTAAGTAATTAAAAAAGCAAATATTAAAAAATGATCCTTATTTGGAAAAACAATTTTTTAGATATCACATGAACGTAAAAATGCAATGAATATGAATAATCGCAAAAGACCTTGTTAATATCAATGGCAAGTAATCATTCTTTTTCACTCTCTGCGATGTGAAAATATTTTTCTTTTTTTGTTATTATAATTTAAAGCAACAAAAAAAAGTTGCATCAGTAATGATGTCTTTTGAATTTCACACGTCTTCGAAGATATTTTTTTTTCTTTTTCCTTCTTCGTTTGAGAAGCAGTTAAATGATGCTTATTATCACGAATACGTTAAGAGAAATTCATATTTCTAGATATTATTTATGAGAAATGTTCAGTCATCCATCACTTGTTATTACGCTATTGTTATCTCTGTCATTTGGTAACAAATTCTGATTTTCCTCCTCTCGCCATTTTGCTCTGAGACTTACGAATACGGCGATAAACACGAGTAAAGCACCAATTGCTCCGACTCCGTAGAATGTCGCGTGTCCCAATAATGGTAGAATATGGGTAATTTTAACTAGAGTTGCATATTGAGTTGTTAGTTCGGCTGTTTGACTAAACCACAGCATTGGCACGAATGTGTCACTTATATTTTTGAACATTCTGAAAATTTCAAATAAACATTTAAAACAATACTGAGATAGCACTTTTTGATTATATTTTAGACTTTCTCACAAAATATTAGCTCTATTTAATATATTAATTAATTCAATATATTAATAAATTCAACAGGGTTGTCACAAAAGTTTAATTTTGTTTTTCCATGACTTTTCCCTGATTTCCAGACAAAATTTTAACTTTTTCCCTGACATAAAAAATATATTCTGATTTACTCTGAAAATTATTGGATACTCAAAAATTGGATACTCATTATTTAATCAATTTTTATTAGAAAATTTTTCGAGAATTCAATTATTTAAATACAAAAATAAATAATTTATTAAATAATATTTCTTAATAATATTTCTTAAAATTCAATTTTTATGAAGAATTTTATCAAAATTTTAAAAAATAATTGAATTCTTTTGGCGAATTTGAACAAAAATTTTAAGAATAAATGCAATTTTCTATCGTTTATTTAAAATTGTATATAAAAAATAATAATTCTGCCATAAGCTTTTGTTATTTATATGTAAAAATAACTGAATTCTTGCAACGAATTTTATTGAAAATTTTTTAAAAAATTGAATTCCTGTGAAGAATTTTATTTGTGAAAATAATTGAATTTCAAAGGAAAATATTATTATTTATGAAAATAATTAATTTCTTGTGAAGAATTTTATTCAAGTTTTTTTAAAATAATAATTGAATTTCTCAGAATTTTTTTAAACTTTTTCAAAAAAATTAAATTCTATATCGAGAAATTTCATTAAAAAATTGAAAATAATTGAAATCTGACGAAGAATTTTATTAAATTTTTTTCTAAATTGAATTCTTGTGAAAATGTTTATTTTGAAAAGCATTGAATTATAATTTTTGAAATTTATAAAGAATTTTATCCAAATTTTTTTAAATAATTGAATTTTCGAGAAAAATGTTATTATTTATGAAAATAATTGATTTCTTGCGAAGAATTTTATTCAAATTTTTTTAAATAATTGAATTCGCATTAAAAAAATGTATTATTTGTGAAAATAATTGAATTTTTAAGAAGAATTGCATTGAAAATTTTATTAACTAAATCTTGTAAAGAATTTTGTCAAAATTTTTTTAAATAATAGAATTTTTAAAAGAATTTTATAAAAACTTTTCGAAATAATTGAATTTCTCAAAACTATTTTTTTCTAATTCTCTGAATATATTTGACTTTTTTCGAGAAATTTCATTCAAAAATTAAAAATAATAATTGAATTCGTTCGAAGAAATTTATAAAAAAAATTGGTAAGTAAATTGAACTCCTGTGAAATTTTTATTAAAATTTTATTTAAATAATCTAATTTTTTTGGAAAATGTTATTAAAATTGTAAATATTAAAAATAATTGAAATAATTTCTAAGTAATAATTTTATGATAGTTCTTGAAGAATGAAGTTATTTAAAAATAAATTATGGTCAGAAATAGAAAAAATTGAAGGTTTTGTATTAGAATTTTTGACAATTTCATAGTTTATGAGGCAAACAAAAAAGATTCTAAAATTCAGAATTTTCTTATAAATTCTAAAAATTTAATTTTTTCCAGTAGGTACTTTTAATAAAAATCCTTGACTTTTCCCTGTTTTCCCAAACCAATTCTAATTTCCCTGACTTTTACCTGAATTCCCTGACCTGTGGCAACCCTGTTCAATATATTAATTATTCAATATATTTATTAATTCAATATATTAATTATTTAATATATTAAGAGAAAAATGCTCGAAAAGTTACAATATTTAAGATCTAATAGTCACATGCTGTTAATTTGAACCTAAAAAAAAGTTTAGTAGACAAAGTATGAGTCAAATAAATTTTTTTTCTGGATGCATAAACAATTATATTGTTCGTAGAAATCTAAACAATTTTTTAAAATCAATACGAAGAAAAAATACATTATTACCAAAGAGAATTCATTAAATTATTCTCGTTATTAATGTAAATTTTGTTTTGAGAAAAAGAACTAATTTTATCACTATTTGAATTTGAATTTATCGCTTTTTTTCTTAATTTTACAAACAAAGGACATAAATTAGTGTTGAGAGAATGATACAAAAAAAAATACCTGTTCAATGAGATTAAAATTACGCAAGTCATAATAACAGTGTCCAGAGAGAGAAAGAGAAAAATTTACAGAAATAAAATGTTAGAGGAAGTTTAAGAAAACTGTAGGCTTTGCACTTATGTACTAAAACCTACTATTTCAGCCACTAAAAGCTACTATTTCTGTTCTTTTTTTTGGGAGAATTTCCACTACTTTAAATTCGCTAATACTACACTGAGAAAAAAATTTATTTGATTCAAATAACCGATTATTATTTGACTATTATTAATTAAACATTTACTTGGATCAAATAATATATTTATTGGAGTCAATTAAATAGTATTTGAATCAATAACTTCAGTATTTGAAGAAAATACAATTTAATTGACTTTAATGAATATTATTTCATTCAATTAAATATATTTAATTGATAATAGTCAAGTAATCGGTTATTTGAATCAAATAAAATATTTTTCCAGTGTAGAAATAAAAAAAACTATTCTCAAAAATTATAGTCAAATTCTTTAAAACGATTCAATTATTTTCAAAAAATATTCGAAATTCAATTATTTTCAAAATCTAGTATTTTCATAAAATTACGCAAAAAGAATTCAATTATTTAAAAAAAATTGATAAAATTCATCGAAAATTCAATTATTTTCATAAATATTAAAAACTCATCGAAGAATTTCAATTATTTAAAATAAACTTTTCATAATTTTTATTATATTCGGAAAAATGAATTATTTAAAACAATGTTCATAATAATCTTACGAAGAATTCAATTACATATTTTCAAAAATAACAAAATTTTTCACAGAAATTCAATTTTTTTAAAACAATTTAATAAAATTTTTCGCAATAATTCAATAATTTTCATAAATAATAAAATTCTTCTCATGAATTTAAGTATTTTTGGAAATTTTAATAAAATTCTTAGCTAATATTCCATTATTTTCATAAAAAATAAAATTCATTGCAGGATTTCAATTATTTTTAATACAATTTTACAGGAATTGCTCAAAAAATCTAATTATTCTTAAAAATTAAATTTCTGATTCAGAAAATCAATTATTTTAAAAAATTGTTTTTTTAGAAATTCTTTTGAAGAATCCAATTATTTACAAAAATATTTGATTTTTTCACAGGAATTCAATTACATATTTTCAAATATTTTAATAAAATTGTTCGAAAGAAATCAATTATTTTAAATAAAATACAATTTTAATTAAATTTTTTTGAAATAATTCAATTATTCTTTTAGATTGTAATAAAATTCTTCCAAAGAATTCAATTACTTTGAGTCATTTTAATAAAATTCTTTACAAAATTTAATTATTTTCATAAATAACAATATTTATCACAAGAATTCAATTATTTTTAAAAGTAATAAATTTCTTTTTGGAAATTCAATTATTTTAAAAAAATTCTAATAAAATCGTTCGCATGAATTCAATTATATTCATAAATAATAAAATGAATTTTAGGAATTCAATTATTTTCAGAAAAATTTAATAATATACCACACAGACATTCAATTATTGTCAAAAGTTCTAATAATTTTTTGTAAAATTTAATTAAAAACTTTTCGCAATTAAATGATTTTCAATATCTACTATTTTCATAAAATTTCCCAACATAATTCAATTATTTAAAAATTTTTTTTGTAAAAAATCTTCGTAAGAATTCAATTCTTTACATGAATAATAAAAATTCCTCAGGAATTCAATTATTTAAATTAGAATTTGCATAAAATTAGTCGAAAGAAATCAATTTTTTTTTATAAAATTCTTTGCGAGAATTAAATTATTTTTATAAATATTTAAATTCTTTCACGAATAATAAAATTCATTGCAGGAATTCAATTTATTAGCAGGATAAGAAAGAAGTAAATATTTTTGATGAAAATTAGGAGAAAGTCGGGAAAATAAAATATAGAATGAAATTTTTGTCAGTTATGTGAAGTGTCTAAAACGAGTTTTGTTGGAAAAATAAAGTTTTAAAGAACGGTAATATTCTTAGATTAGAGGAATATTTATGTGCAAAGGAAGATAATTTATTAAGTTTACAAACAAAAAAAAGTACTACTTACTCTATTTCATCGTCATGTCGAACTAATAAATTTAATTGTAATTGAGCTTTGACCTGCATTGGTACACCCATCACCTGAACAGAGTAAAAAAGAACCATTTTAAATGCTACAATATGAGAAAAATTTCGATTTCTTCAATAATTATTGTTAAAGTAATTAAGGTTGTAGTTCAAAGAACCGGTTCTAATTTTTAGACTCAAAATTCTTGAAGTACTTCAAAATGTAAAAACGAATTTAGAATTTTGATTTCTTGTAGGATAAGCATTTCGTATTTGTGTAAAGATTATACAAGAACCTCCGGAAGTTGCGATTTATTTTCAATTTTTAATTAATAGATTTTACTGTTTAGTTTCGACTATACTTGCAACAATATAGTCAAATGTCGAAAATTTAAAGTCTGTACCAAAATTAATTCGACTTGTAATTATAGTTACAAACATAACAGAAAATAAAACATAAAACTAATTAATTTTGGTACAGAAATTAAATTTTACAGACGTAGGCCAATGATTTTGGTCTTTGAACAAACTATAACCGGTTCCTTGATTGAGAGCTTCAATCGAGCCTTCAATTACCCTTAATTAAACTAAAATTAATGAAGTGAACAAATTAATGTGCTTGAAAAAAAATAAATACTAACCGGGTCCAGTACAACAAACGTTTCATGTAATGCTTTATCAGGTTTCATTCCCTCGATTCGCTCCCTATAGCTAGGATCAGCTAAGTAAAAATGCGGTAAACTAATAAAAGCAGGAGCTCCAAATTTACACAAAGAAACATTGAGAGCTCCGCTAGGTTGACATTCAACATTATCACAGTAGCATTTACGAGATGGATCTTTTGTTCCATTATCTAAAATATTCTCATGTGAGACAAATTTCGATCCAGTTATTCCTAGAAATTCTGTCGTACTATTGTAAACCAAATCAATAGACCTGAAAAAAAGTTTTTTCTTCTATATTGTTTTGTTTATTCTGAACAATTTTATATGTTCCTGAATTTACCGTCGACGTTCAGTGTCGAAAACTATTGTTAATTGGAGTTTTTAGGTACAGCATCGACGCTAACATCAGGGACATATCCTTTCAGAAACATAGCATTGTATAGCATTAAAATTGTGTTGTAATTTTACAGCATTGAAATTGTGTTGTAATTTTATAGCATTAAAATTGTGTTGTAATTTTATAGCAATAAAATTTATTTTCTCTTAACAAAAAAAGAAAATAATTCTTAATGTTTTACCCACGTGCAAATATCGGATGAAAAAACAGACAGTCTTGAAGAAGAATTAGTCGTAAATGGGTGCCAAAGATCTCCAACTGTGCCTTTTATTTGACTACATTTTCCATTATCGTAAATTGTCTTATTGGTGTAATTCCACTCGACAAGTTCGCCTATTTCGGAAATTGAATCCTTTCCTGTTTTAATGCTGTACGTTCCTTCGTATGTATCAGAACCGTTACGCTAAAAAGAAAAAAGAAAATTATCTCTCTGATTTTGTATTTTTCTTCTATCAACGGATCTGCGAATTTGACTTATTTAAATTTTCGAGAGGTTGAATAAAAAATTAGACTTTAAAGTAAATGAGAATTACTGCGTAAAACCAGCCAAATTTATCGTATGGAAGTGTTGTTATGTTAAGTTTTCGAGCAATCTCCAATAACTTGTCCTCATAACCATCGTAAATTAGTTCCGAAACACTTTTCGTCACTATAACATTTTCCTTGACGGCTTTCATGAGAAGATTGGCAAATTTCCTTAATAAAGGTCTTTGGAATCTGACAATATTACCAAGCGTCTGTGAACAGAATTAAATATGTTGTTTCTCAAAAATATATGCATTCAAAAAGCACAAAAAAAAAAAAATAATTAAGGGCCAATTTCACCAACTCCGATTAAAAGTTAATCAATGATTAAAATCGGTTAAGGATTTAATCATCAATTAACTTTTAATCGGAGTGAAACTGGCCTTAGTGTAAATTCCAACATCGAAAAATCAACAGTTGTTAGGAGCCAAAAATGCCATAGTTTAATTTTAATCACTCAAATAAAGTAAAGAGGAAAGGATACAAGGTGAAAACTTACCACAACGATTGGATTTAAATTCGTTATTTTATCAGATAGTGAAACTCCTTTTTTCGACAATTCAGGCACGAATGTCCAATATCGACGTCTGTGAAAAGTCACAGTGCCATTGTCGTTCCAAACTTTATCGGTTTTGTAAAATTTCTCACTTTAAGAACAAAAATAGGAAAATTTTAACTTACTGACATAAAAATTTATGATTTATCAAAATCGCAACTGTAGTTACTTTTTTTTAAATAATGATAATAGTTCATTAAAAATGATAATTAGTTACCTGAACACATAAGGTCCTGTCTCAGTAAAATTAGGTTTTTCACCTTTAAAAAAATCGTTTGGATTACTTAAATTAAACATGTAAAATGATAAAAACAGTGGTATTGGATTTTCGTTCCACATCTCGAAAGATTTTGAGTCTGTCGTTAGTGTTAATTCCTATTAGAAGAAAATGAGCAACATATTAGAATTATTGATCTAATTTAGTTCGGTTAACAATTTTTTGAAATTATTATTATTTTATTATTATTATTATTGAAAAAAACCTTTTTGTAAATGTAATCGACTATGGTTCCCCATAATGCTCCAACTGTTATTCCGCCAATAAATAGAATAACTCCTAAACCCAATGCAATGTACAATTTCGTATTAGATCTCATCTTTTCTGGTTGGGGTCCCGTTCTAAGGAGAGAAATATTTTTAATAATTGTTATTTTTTTAAAATACTTTTTGTTTTCTATATCAAAATACGAGTTTGGTACGAGTAAATTTTATTTGGTTCAAATGAATTTTATTTGGTTTAAATGAATTTTATTGGGTTCAAATAAATTTTATTGGGTTCAAATAAATTTTATTCATCTCAAATAATAAATTTTAATCAGTAGAAATAAATATTAATACGTTCAAATAAATTTTATTCTGCTCAAATAAATTCTTTTTGGTTCAAATAAATTTTGTTAGGCTCAAAAAAAAATGTTATTTGGTTCAAATAAATTGCATTTGTTTCCAGTAAATTCTATTCGATTTAAATAAATATTAATCCGTTCAAATAAATTCATTTTGGTTCAAATAAATTTTATTCGGTTAAAATAAATTGCATTTGGTTCAAATAAATTTTATTTGGTTCAAATTGATTTTAATCTGATGAAATAAACTCTTTTTGCTTCAAATTAATTTTGTTTAGTTCAAATAAATTGCATTTGGTTCAAATAAATTTTATTTGGTTCAAAAAAATTTTATTTGGTTCAAGTAAATTTTCATTTGGTCCAAAAAAAAAAATTTTATTTGTGTCGAATAAAATTTTTATTTGAAAAGAAATAAAGAATTCATTAAAAGCCCTGAGGCAAATGAACTTTTACATAAGTCTAATAAATTGTATTTCATTTAAATTGAATTTTTTCCCAGAGTGTAGACTTTTTTCTAAAATTATATGCATCAGATTCTTGTCAGGTATAATTTGTAATGTGTATTTAATAAATAATTTTTATTATTCACAATCTAAACTATAATCATTAACGAGGTCAATAACAGGAACGTCTGGCAATTCATTAACAATGACTAATCAATGATACTGACTCATAAGTTCATTAATTCAGGATTAATTATTTTTTCTCTAATTTTAAATCAAGCAAAAGGAAAGACTTATAAAAATTAATTTGTGTAATTTTTAATAGTTTAAACTTGCGATTTTCAAAATAATTTAAAATCTTCAAAAATTTTAAATACAAAAAATTTATCAAATGGAATATTATATAAATTATTTTATGAATATTTATATAATATTTAGATAATGTTTAATCTAATTTTCAATTAAGATATAAGGTTAAAAATGTTAAAATTAAAAATTTATTTCTTTGAGATTTTTAATTCGATTTGGCAATATCAGTATTAAAAATATTTTCTGATCTGCGATAAAATGTTTCGTCGTAAATAAAACAGATTTCTATATATTTACTTTTGCGGGTATTATTTTTTTTTATTATATTTTTAAACGACTGCATTGCAGATAAAAAATTTTCCACTCTTTTAACTAAAAAAAACAATTCTATTCTTTATTTAAAAAAGAAATTTCTTAAATATTGAAATTAGAAAAATATAAACATTAAAATTCTATATGAAATAGAAAACTTTGTATTTTAAATTATAACAATAACTTTGTATTGAAATTTAAATTTTAACTTCATATTTAAAATTCTTACCAGTCAGCAAATGTAATTATGTTTAAATTAACTTTTACTCCAAAACAAGAAACTAATTTTAGTGTCACTGGTGTTCATATCAAATTTTAAAAACATGTGACCCAAATTAAAATCATTAAAATCTAAACGTCACTTATTGATGGAAATTTAGTAAATTGACGTTAAAAATAAATAAAATTCAACAAAGTTATATTATGCCGGATGTTAACTAAATGTGTGGAAAAAGATACTGCAACTCATCTAATATCCCCTTTGGATTTTTAAAATGTTTGATTATTCACTCTTAAAGAGATAACAGCACTGCAGTTTCAAGAACAAAGATGACACTTAAAAGTGTTTATATTTAACAAATAAAAAAGAGAAAAAAAAATTAGTACAAGTGGGAGACTCAGTGAAATATCTCTTTCCATGAATATGTATTAAATATAATATTAACCTTAAACTATCAGTGCCAATAGATGTTCATATATGTAGAGAAATTGCAGTGCTACGTACTTTATGAAGAAAAGAAGAGATAAAAATGTTACATTTTTCCTTTTTGTCACGTAGTATTTAAAGTAATATTTTAAAATAAACTTGTGATATTTTTCCCTATAAGTTTAATATAATATATAGAAAGACGAAAATTAAAATTTTTTGACTCCAGATGATTTTGTGACTTCTGACCTTTTTGACACGAGTCTTGCGCATTACTTCTGATGCTCCTATGAATGCTTTTTTTTAGATGAAAACTTTACTGGCGGGAATATTCGAATTTTTTCCATTTCTTTACATTTTTTCATTTTAACTTCTTTCAATTTTTCTCAATTTTTTAAATTTCTTTCAATTTTTTTTTCAATTTTAATGTTTCTTGATTTTTTTAATTTTTATTAATTTTTTAACATTTCTTTCAATTTTTTACTATATATTTGTTACATTTTACGTTTTTAACAATATATTATTATTTATTTTTTATGTTACACGAAAAAAACGAATAAAGTAATTTTTACTATACTTTCACAATAAAACCTAAATTGTCTGGAGTTTCTGCGCATTTCTGCGGCAATTTTTACTATTTTCGGAGTAAAATTTTATACTATTTCCAAAGTAAATTATTTTAGTAAGATTATAGTAAAATTTACTTTGGACGTAGTAAAATTTACTCTGAAAATAGTAAAAATTAACAGAAATGCGCAAAAATTCCATACAGTTTAGGTTTTATTTTGTAAATAGTAAAAGTTACTATATATTTTTTTCGGGCATAAAATTCTGCATATATTGTTTATTTTTTATATATATATATATAAGAAATGAAATTTATATATTTTGAATTTATTAATTTTTATTTATCTTTTATCTAATTATAATAATTTTAATAAATATTAAGTCCGTTCAACATTCGACTTTGACATAAAGAGTGAATTAATTTTTTTATCAAAAATTACATTTACTTTAAATTTTCTTTTCTTTGTTCTTCTCATTCTTGAAAGAATTAAAAAATTTTTTTACAATTATTTTAAAAGAATTGTTTTAAATTAAAAAAAAAATTTTAGTACTCAAAATATAAAAATACAATTTATTGTTCTTAAAAAAGACAATTGTCTATTATTCTCACCCATTTTGTTGTGCTTTAGATTTAGGGAAGTCAGTAATTTCCTTTTTTTTCACCGCATCCATTTTTTGTTACACTTTTTATTTTCTTTGTTTTTTACGTTAATTGATGAAAATTGATGAAAATTGATGAATATTATTTGAATGAAATTAATAAAGTAGTGTGGTAAAATGTATGAGCGTGAGTGAATTGGTCAACAACAGTTTTCACAATGAATTACAAGCGCACAGTGAATATATGCTACCTTTTGATTCTCAGCTTAACCGTTTTTTTACACGATAAGAGAATATTTAACGAGATAATTTGGTGCTCGTTTATCAGTAAATTATTGTCCAGAAGTCAAGGAACAGTATGACATAATATTTTTCTTTTTTAATGTATATTGATAATTATTAGGTTAAAAAAAAGTGACCAAATATTATTCAGTTAGAAAAACAATACTCTATACTTAGAGGTAATTGAATTGCATTCTTCCTTTCTCTCATTTTAATTTTCTGCATTAATGTTCTAATTAAATAAATATTTATTTAATTAGCTTGCACTTTTTAAGAGAACTACACTGACAAAAAATTATTTGATTTAAATAGATGATTATACTATTAGGCACCCAGAGAAATTTTTTATTTAAACCAAAGATAATTTATTTGAATCTAATACAATTTATTTGAAACAAATAATATTTTTATTTAAACCAAATACAATTTACTTGAACCAAATAAAATTTATTTGAAACAAATACGATTTATTTGTATACAAATTTTTTTTCTTATAAGAAAAAAAATTTGTATTTGAAACAAATATATTTTTTTCTGGATGAGAAATAAATATTTATTTGCATCAAATAATTTTTATTGAAGCCATTGAAATAATATTTGTTTCAAATGCAGAAATCGTTGGTTCAAATACAAATTATTTGAATCGAGATTTGAATTAATTAAAAATTACTTGATTCAAGTAAATTTTTTTCAATGTACAAAAGACCTTGTCCCATTTTGTAAATAATTCATTTTTTCCATTTTGTTTAATTTGTTTAATTAAAATAAATTATTATCGAAAAATACATGGAAACAATTATTTTTAAAGACTGAAATTTTTTTAAGATAAAAGACTAAAAATGAAAAATTCAATTTAGACTGAAAAATAATTTATGGATAAAAATTTTCTAGGGCTTACTTTAACACATAGACGAATTGATCATTCTGATCGATTTTATGCATCTCCATTTCGATCACACACACACACACTTTTAGATTAATTGAAAAAAGTAGTTCAAGACCTTTGTTTTAAATTCGATTTTTTACCATCAAGGATAATGCAATAAAATTTACTTTACTTTTTTAATAATTCGTGAGTAACGAAAAATTTCGCGTGGAAAATATTTTATAATTTTCTCAATTTTTATTCATTGATTTTTCTCGGAAATAAAAATTTTATAATTTTGAAAATATTTTATAATTTTCTTTATTTTTATTCATTGACTTTTCTCGTAATAAAATTTTGTTTAATTGTGAATATATAGTTTTTTTTAAATTTTTAAGAAGGAAAATTTCATTATCATTAGAATAATTTACACAATTACAATATCACAAATATTTATCGACGTAACGTGTTAGTCGTTATGATGAGATTAAAATTACTGGAGGCTCACAAGAATATTATAATTCATTCAAAGTTGAGAAAAGAATATGAAAATGTTTACGAGAATAGGAAAGGGAAAAGACGACGACGAAGAGGAATAACTCAAATAAGGAAGAACAGTGATTTTATTCGAGCTATTTGAACAAAGTCCAGTATAACGAGAATTAGTTTTGTCTACACATCAAACCTTTCAAACGATTAATTTAGTTTTTTTTTTAATTGATATTATTAAAAGGAAAAATTGTACAATTTCTTTTGAAAATACAATTTATTTTTGTGAGTAATGAGGTTTGGAATTAAATTTTAATTAAAATCCAATATTTTATTTTTATTATTAATTTTTTGTATTATTCGTTCACTATTTTTAATAATAAATTTAGAAAAAAATTTAGTTGAATCAAAGAACCGCTGATTTGTCTATTTTATCAAATTTACTTGAATCAAATCATTTTTATTTAAATCAATTAAATGGCATAAACTTCAAATACTGAAATTTTTTGTTCAAATATAATTAAATGTAAAATTTATTTGATTCAAGTAAATATTTATTTGATAATAAAAAAGTAATCGGTCATATGAATCAAATAATTTTTTTTTCACTATATATTGATTTTTTGTTTTATTAAATTAATAAACTGTCAATTTATTAATTAAGTAATAATTAATATTATTATTATACTAAACTAAATTAATTAAATGTTTATTAATTTAATTAAAATTAATCTGTTTTGGAATTCAAAAAAAGAAATGGCAAATATTTTCAATTTATCAGAAGAATTTATTATTAGAAAATAAATAATTTTATAAAGAACATTTTGTGAATATGAATTTAGTTAGGTTTTTAATTTTTTTAAGACAAAAACAAATCTATTTCTGCGAATATGAAAAAAATTATTAGTCACTTAAATTGAATCACACTTTTTTACTTAGTATACTCATAATTTAAAGTAGTATGCATATGTACACTTCGAAAAAAAAGATGACTAATTGAAGTCCTTGATAATAATTGAAAAAAATGAATGTCTTTCAATTACATAATTTAATTAGCACCAATTTTATATTAAATCGAAATCAGTATTATTATTGTTGATATAATTGTTATTATTATTATTATTATTATTAGGTATTATTATTATTATTATTATTATTATTATTATTATTATTATTATTATTATATAAAATATTTAAATATAAATTACACTTTTGAAAAATATTTATTCGGAAAATTCTAATTATTTAATTAATAAATACCTACGTAAATAAAAACTTTTCTAAATCTTTTTTGATTAAATGCATATAAACATATCACGAGGAAATGATTTTATTTGAAATATCAATAGTTTGTTTAATTTTTTCAAATAACTATCTGATTTTTCTGACATTACTTTTTAACATTGTAACATAAGTCAGTATAGTTAAATGATAATTATTTTTTAAAAAAAGTTAACTGGAAGATATTTAAAATGAAATTGTTTTTAATAAAATTATTAATTGATCAATCAAGTAAGTCAGTAGAATTTCCATAAATTGAATAAAATATAAAATATTTTTAATAATTTTTTTAAACTATATCAGCAAATATATTCAAATAATCAATTGTGAATTCAACAATCATATTCGAATAGTGGATAAAATGTAAATATAAAAAATGTTTTTTTTTATGGAATAATTCTTTCCAATGATTACAAGAAAGTAAGGAAGAAACATTTCCTTTTGATGTAATGTATCAATTATCAGAATTTTTTTCTAATCTAACATAAATTACAAATACAAACTAGATGTATATTTCTGTCAATCAGAAGTTTTTTTCTTAAATAATTAAATTGTATTTTTTCTATTAGATCGTAAATGAAAACACAAAAATAAAGTTTTACAATAAATTTTGATAAATATTTATGGTCATATGATTAGTAATTATTAAAAATTAAAATTTCATTGCAATTCATTTCGATAATTTCGATTTTTAATTAAACAGGAAGTGAATTTATTATTATTTTCTGGTACCAAAGCAAGAAAGTGTAACAATAATTAACATAAAATATGAGAAAAGTGAATTTTAAATCGTATAAATTTTAATATATTAATAATAAATAAGAACAATAATAACAAATTTTAGAGAATTGTATTAAATAATGGATAAGGACAATAATATCGAATTTTAGAAAATTCAATTCATTAATAAATAGGAACAATAACAAATTTTAAAGAATGGTATTAAATAATAAATTTTATTAATTTAAAAAAATAAAACAATATCCAATGGCGAGTAAAAAATTTATTCGAGTATAATAAACGAAAATTAAATTAAAAATCTATTTACACATATAAAATGATTAAATACTATTTTTTTGAAATAAATTATTAGATAAAAATACGCGCTTATCAATTTAAAGAATTTACGCAAATATCATCAGTAACTGCGAAGAATAAGAAAATAAGAGGCATCAGTGAAAGTGAATGAAAGACACGTGAGCATTAACTTTCATTTTTGTATAATTGGTGATCAATATGAAATTATAAAAGAAAAGGGGAAACATTAATTTTATGTAATTCTATTTTACTAAAATAATTGAAAAAAATATATTTGCAATTTCTTTTTAAGAATATTGTTATATCAACATCATTTAAGTGCCATTCAAAAGATATGTAATTTAATTAATTTTTTTATCACTCTTTACTCACGGAAATAAATAAATTTTTTTAGCCAACATGCAAGAGTTTAAAAAATATTTAATTTATTTGTAGAGAAAAAAATTGTTTTTAAAATATTTATTTAAATTAGCATTGCCCATGTTAAAATGTGTTTTCTTCGATTAATCGCATTTGCTAGTGTATCAGAATTTTTTTTTTTTTAAACATTGTCTTTTCTGGTTTCCAAAGAAAAACTTTTTACCCACCTTTAAATTCCAGTTTCTTCGTATTTAACTTCCTGTAATTGAATAATTAAAATCTTGGAAAATGTTGCAATTAAAGATCTTACCATGATATATTTTATCTCACTTCAGATTCAGAGTTCAAGTATTTTATCAAATTATTACACACATACAAATATGTAAGAAATGTGAAAATTTCTCGATGAAAAAATAATTAAAACAATTAATTAAAATTAAAAAATTACTTTTGAATATAAAGTTTTAAAAACAACTAGCTATTTTTTATATTTACTTATGAATGTATTTTGTATATAGAATTTAAGTATGCGGTTCGCGAGAAGACTGTTTTGCCGTTGTTTACTATTCTTGCCTTTCGATTCCAACATTATTTGGAGGGGAGGTTTCATAGCCCAAGAGAATTTTTCCCATTTCACATTTTATAAAATTCTAATAATTTTGAATTAACAAAAAATGCGTTAAAATAAAATTATAATTATACTATATTTATTTAAATAAACTTTTAACTCATTAGAATTTCTTTAAGAAAAAAAAATTGGTTCTTTATTTGAGTAAAGAATGTTTATGAAACAATTACAGAAACTTGTAAAATAAATATTAAATAGAAAGTTAAATAATTAAATAAAACAAAAATTACAAGAACAAAAAATTGTTTCGTAATTTCAGACTCTCTAGGATAAAAATTCAAGGCACTTCCGTACAAATACTTAAAAAAATGTTAAAATCTTATCAATTATCTGGATAATTTTCTTTCTTATATATAAATAAAAGTTTCTTAAGATTCAAGCACCTTGTACTTTGAATTAATCACTGAGATTTCTTTGGACGGATTGCACTCACTTATTGAAGTGATCGATTTAATTGAATATTATCAATCAATTATTTTTCTAGGCCAATAAGGAATTGTTTGGATTATTTGTACTGTTCATATCCTCTTGTAATTGTGTCCGGTCTCGAATTCTCGAACACATCAAACTATATTCCAAAACACCGATTCTTATGTTCATTTCCGAAATTTCATTCTTCATTTTCGTTATTGTTTTCTTAATGTTTATGAGAGGAGCTAAATAAATAAAATGTAATTTATTACATAGTTTGTAGAAATTAAAGGTCTTTATAATTTATAAGTATCAAAAGAGACGTATTTTCTTTTAGAAAAATTAAATAAATATTTGTAATATAAAACTTACTTCCGTCTGTCATGCTGGAACCTTTTTCATCCAATTCTTTTTTTATTTGATCCAATTCCTCCGTAAGTTTGTTTAGTATTCTTGTTCTTTCAGTAACACCTCCACTTACCTCTCGATATTGTTCCTTTATTTTCAACAATTCCTCCTTTTTTGAAAAAGTGCATTGAATTTAGTGACTTAAATTTTTGCTTAAAGTTTTCTTCTTAAGTTACTTAAATTATTGACTGATAGAAAATATTAATGAAGATTTCGGGCAATTTAGAAGAAAAATATTGATTTATAGAAAACATTGATGAAGATAGCATTTCGGGTAGTTTAGAAGAAAAATATTTTCTTTAGATTTACCTGTAGAGATTTGTAATCATTTAGATAAGGTTCCAATTGCTGATTAAGATAGTTTTCCCTGGTATTTATTTTGTCGAGTGTATTTTCAATATCAAAATGCATTTTTTCTAATTGTCCAGTAGTGCCGTTTAGATTATTTTCTATCTCGGTTTGCAATTGCTTCATCTGATCCAGATGTGCTCTCCAATCGCGGGAATCTTTTTGTTGATAATATTTATAAGATTATAAAATTATTATTCCAAATCATTAAAAAACTCATTTTTTAAATATGAATTTGGATTAATATTCAAATTGGAACTTCTTCGCTCTTTATATTTTTATAAAATACATAGTAAAACTTTTTACCTGTTCTAACAGTTACTTTCAACTGCGGTAGAACTCTTTCCAATTCCAGTTTCCACTCTTCGGCATCGGTTTTTGATTCCAAAATATTTTCCGGTCTATAGTTGTCATTCTATGCAAATTATGAAAATAATTAAAGAAAACTATTTTTTATCAAAAAGAAAACTATCTTTTGACGCTTAGCGTCGACTCTAACTTCAGGGACATGAAGCTAATTCGGTTTCTGATAATTGATACTAGAATTCACTTATCAAAAACTGAATTAGCTTCATATCCCTGAAGTTTTTGACGCTAACCGTCAAAAAAGTTTTCTTCTACGAAAGTAGATAATTTTTCTTGAAATTTTAGATTCAAACAGGTGCTTTGAAAGTTTGCGGAGCAGTGATTTTAGTGACACTTCCATTACTCAGAATAAAAAAAATTGTTTTCGATGCTAAGCCAACAAGGAAAAATTGTTTATGCAATTAAATTTTAAACAAAGCTTAAAATTCAATTGCATAAACAATTTGTTCTATGATTTCTGATTTTGGTCGAACATGAAGTCTATGGTCGAACTATAAATCTTACTAAATTCTCCCCGTAAAGTTTAGTAATATCATCGACATGAACAATATCCTCATCTTCTTCCTCCTCCTCTTCGAAATCAACATTTATTTCTTCGTCAAGTTTTTCCAGAATTAATTCAGCATCATCGTCTTCGATTTCGGGTTCGGGTGTCGGTTCATCAGGTGGAATATTAACTCTACGTTTAATAGAATAAGAAAATAATTTTTAAGATTTTAAATTTAAAACTAAAGTCACCATGAGAAGAGTTTGGGTTTTAATATTAAAAAACGTTTTTTGTTGCTTAAAATTTGCAATACAACACATTATGTGTACCGAAATTAAACTCTTCTCGAAGTACAATTAATTTATTTTTATGAATTTATGAATTTTATTTACTTTTTCCACTTGAAGTTAGTAGCTTGCAGTGCATGATCAGCCAAATTATCGAGAACATAAACGGCGTGTTCGCCAACTCCTTGTTTTAGTTTATTTGGTGCAAATTCAACAGGAACTTCAATTTCCCGAAGAAACTCCAAAATTCCCGATATCGTCGAATTTGGATCATCAGATTCTTGCGGTAAATCAAAATTCCTACCCGACTTTCTTATAAGCCACGCTGCTAATGATGTGAACAGGAAAAATTGTTCTCCGGAATTTGTTGGTATTACAAAATAGTGTCTGTGAAAATTTATTTTCTTAGTAAAACAGTAAATAAAAAAAAATTATTTAGATTTAAATTAAATTTATTTAGATTTAAATTAAATTTATTTAAATTTAAATTATATTTATTTAAATTACATTTATTTAAATCTAAACTATATTTAAAAATTCAAGTTAAAAATTTAAACAAGGTATCTTGAGAAACATTAAAAATTTCGTTTTACTTTAATTTTTCCCTAATTGTCTGAATAATTGATATTATTCTAAATGTCAACTAAAAGTGGAGTCAACCTTGAATGCAACTTATATTAAAAATCAATAGAATTGAATAATTTTCTTTTATAGGTTATTCAAATAAAATTACGAGAACAAAATACAAAATTAAATAAATAAGTCTAGTAAAAACTATTCTAAACTGTTTAAAAATTTTCAATGTATTATATTAAAATGTAAATTATCAATTACCTATTAATGTCCTTCATTTTGAGCTTGTGTAAAAATTCGGTATCGTAATTTAGAAGTTTTAATTTCTCTAGTAAATCCTCCATTCTAATGTAGGCAGCAAAAGCTGCAGAAGGAGCCGTAGCATCCTCGACAAAAATTTTCGCTGATTCTCGATACATTTTTCTTTTTTTTATTTAATTAAATTCAAGTTTCAACAAATTTTGACATTTGTTCTGACAGTTCTACAATATGTAAACAGTTGACTATTAAAAGTATTCCCCATCTGCTGAGAAAGTATAGAATTAGGTATATTTTCTGCTTTACCCAGAGAACGCGGTTTAAAAAGTAAAGAGTCCATAGAATCTGAATTTAAAATAATAAAAAAGTGCTTATAATAAAATGTATTATACCAAAAAAAATTTTACCCTCATAGCACTGAAAATTTCCTGAATATTTAGTAAATATTTACTTGCAATGTTTGGAATATTTAAATGCAAAGTTTAGAAAACATTGTATAAAGATTTTCATGTCCCTATTAAATAAATGTTACCTTACTCACACTTTCCTGAAAATTTATCGTGAAACTTTTATTTAATCGGGACATTTAAATCTTTACACTATTTTCACTAAAACTAATTGCATGAAATATTCCGAACATTGCAAGTAAATATTTAATAAATTTTCGGTTCTGCTGGGGTATTTAAAACAAATATAATTGAGGGTCCCTATCAAAGAACCGGTTATAAGTTTTTTAAGCTCGAAATCATTGCCCTGTAAATAAAAAATTAAACTGTTTTTAATCCCAATTTTTTGAGAAATATTTGGGTAATCTTTATATACCAATACAAAATGTTTTCAAGAAATTAAAATTTTAAATCCTTTTTTTATTTAGAGGTCGAGAATTTTGAGTCTCAAAAACTTATAACCGGTTCTTTGATATAGGGACCCTCAATTTAACTTGAATAAAAATATATTTGTCTCAGAGTCAACTATAGATTTTTTTTTGTTTTAAATAAAAATTATATTTCACATAAATAAAACTTTTATTTCAACCAAAATAAAATTGATTTTGAAACAAATAAAAAGTCAAGTTGACTCGAGTCAAAATATATATAATTTTTCTGAATGTATTTTGACTCAGGGTCATAAATAAACTTTTTATTTGTTTCAAATAAATTTTAATTAAAATAAAAATTTATTATTTGTTTTAAATAAAATTTGTATTCAAAACCAATTTATAAATAAATAAATAATAAAGAATAATATTTGTACATTGTACAAGCATTTTTAAATTTTTTAAATAAATATTTTAAAATTGTTTGTGCTTTGTGAATAAATATATTCAAATTGGGGCCAAAATTGCAAAATTTACAGAAGAATAAATTTAATTGTTTTTGTGTCTTCAATGCTTTTAAAATATTTCCATACTACACTCTTTGGTTTCGTCTTTTTTTAAATCTTTAAATATATTGCCACTATAATAAACAAAATAACAACTACTAAATAAAAATACAACGCCGGACAGTTGCATTGGTTGCATTCGTTGCATTTACCAAAGTGTATAATGACAAAACTACAAAAGTGAGGTTATGTTACATTCTCTTAAATTCTCGGTAATATTCTCGTTCTCAGTAATATTCTCTCGGTAATATAACCAACTTAGAACACTAATTTAGCATATTGATCTATAAAAAAAACTCACAATAGCTCTGCTCCTGCTTCCACCTGCTCCTTGGAACAGTTCGTCAAACAATAAATTGACAATAATCTCCAACAGGTGCAAACAGGCACCAACAACACGGTGGATTTATATCGTCGAATCGAAACTGACCTTAAGACGGACCTCCACTATCATTCGTTATTTTTTCCCGGCAAAATGTCATTTTTTCCAAGTGCCTCTAGTGTCGAGAATATGAACCATTTTCCAGTGATATTCATCCACTGAGATTGGTACTCACCCCGAAAACTATACAAGTGTCAAAGAAATTGTCAAGTGTCATCAATGAAAAGTGCATAGTCGTCAATGAAATTATACAGTTCTTTATTAAAAAGAATTTAGAAAATTAACATAAAGTGTGAAAAAGTGTAAAATGTATTTAAATTGATTTTGATAAACTCCTCGAGTTTAATAGTATTATTAATTGTATCATTACGATGACATCAGTACCAGAACCCTTGATTTTTGCCTTTGCACTTGTTGATACAGGTGCTGTTTTATTTCTTCTAGTGTATTTTGTATCCTTTTTGAAATTTACCCCTTGAATGTAGTATTTCACTTTTTTCCAAAATGTAAATTATTAATTCTGTTGTTATTTACATTAGCGGTTTCTTTTCTTGTTTACAATCTAGGGAGTTTTTCGATTTGATAGTGGTGATTATTGTTCTTAGCGGGAAATTTGTAATTATCAAAGTTATTGGGATAAGTTTTTAAGTGTTTTAAATATCCTAAAAGTGATTAAAATGTATATTTTAAGATGCTTTTTTTTGCATAGTAGAATAAAAATTGAGGGGTCGGATCGAAGAACCGACGCTTCGCAATGTTCTGTGCATTTACAAGCGTCGGTTCTTCGATCCGAGCCCTCAATTAGTTTGCATTATTTTAATAAGATTCCCAAGGGTAAAAATTAGTCTCTTCTATAACTTTTGCGTTATTTTTGCTCCTTAACTCTATCAATTTTCCAAATACAGCTAATTGTACTATCGGATTTAGAATGTGATTATTTAAATGCACAACAATGTTGCTCAAGACTGAATGCGGTGGGTAAAATAGCTATAGATATTTTTTATAAATTTTCCATTTATTTTCGTAGTTTCTTAGTTTTCTTCAACTATTTGTTTTTTTAGTTTTCTTCGTCTTCTTAGTTTTTATAGTTTTTGAAGTTTTTAAAATAAAAATTTTATATCCCTGAAGTTAGTGTCGGCGGTTAGCTTCGAAACATATTATTCGTATAGTTTTTAGAGATTATTATTTTGCAAAGCACTAACCTAAAATCTTCGAACAAATTTTTTTAAATAAAATTTTCAAAATATTGAAACTTAAGGGCTTTTGAAACATTATGACATCATAGTTTGTTATGTTCTGGAACTGTTACGTCATACTGGTTCAAATGGTCTTAAAGAATTTAAATTAAAAAATTTTTTTACGGTAAAAAGGTTTTTCGACGCTAAGCGTCTTTCGCTAACTTCAGAGATGTAAAATTTAGAGTAAAATTCAGAGAGGTAAAATAATTTGAAAATAAAATTGTTTACAGTGGGTTACACCAAAATTAGCAGCTCATGCTGTATTATTTATAATTCTTCTTCTCTCTGGTCAATGGGGCATAAGTGCCTTAAATGTACCAATGACCGCTTGGTTATTTTACGAATACTTTAACGTGCCTAGAGGAAATATGGGTGTTTATGATCCAACAGAAATTCATAATCGTGGTCAATTAAAAAAGCATACACGAGATTGTTTAATTTTTCTCGGCTACTATTTAATATTCTTCTTTATTTATTTATACTGGTAAGTAAAATATAGATACTTGATTATATATTTTTAAATATATTTAAAATATTTTTCAAATATATCACTATTAACTTAAAGCAGGGCTCGAACCATTAGTGAAAGTATTTAAAAATACGGACTTTACGGACTAAATATGAGAAAATTACGGACCAATTACTGACAAAAATATAACCATAGTCCTTTAGTCAAATAAGAGAACATTTTACTTAAAACTATAAATTAAAAAAAATAAAATAAAATAAAAATCTATTAAATCTATTTTAATCTCTTAAAAATCTATTTAACTATAAATTAAATTTTTTCACAAGTATAAAACATGACCCAGTGATAAATTCATTATTTTATATTATAAGAATATTGTACTTCTTTACAATTATTTTCATCATTTAAATTCAATTATTATTTTCCAGAATTTTTAACTAAAATTCTTCTTTAAATCAATTATTTCAAATAATTTTCGAAAAAGTTCTTTAAAAATTTTAAAATTCATTTGATTACAATATTCAATTTTACGAAATTTCAATTATTCGTAAATTTTTCAATTAAATATATTAGAAATTAAAAACTTGAAATAATTTTTTCAAAAAATTCAATTAAATGAATATTAGAAAATTCATTTTTAAATCAATTTTTATTACGAAATTCTACGAGAATTCCATTATTTAAATACAAAAGTAAATAATTTATTGAATGTTTCTCAAAATTGAATTCTCATAAATAATTTTATCAACAAATTTTTAAATAATTGAATTCTTTTGTCGAATTTTATTAAAACTTGCATGAAAATATTTACTTTTTCCAAGGAATTCAATTAAAATTGTATGAAAAATAATTGAAATTCTGCTATGAGTTTTATATTATTAGTAAAAATAATTGAATCCTTAAGAAGAATTTTATTACTATTGAAAATAATTGAATTTTTGCCAAGAATTTTATTTAAATTTTTAATAATAATTGAATTTCTACGTTAAATTATATTAAAATTCTTGAAAATAATTCAATTTTTTAAAGGAATTTTGTTAAAACTGAAACTGATTTAATACTTTATAAAGATTTTTTATTAAAGTCTTAAAAATAATTGAATTTTTGCACAGAATTTTACTAAAAATTATGATATAATAATTGAATTTATTCGAAGAATTTTGTTATTTATGAAAATAATTGAATTCTGTCCAAGAATTTTAATAAAAATTTAAAAAATACCTAATTAAATTCCTTACAATTATTTTATTATTTATGAAAATAATTGAATTATTGCGATAAAATTTATAAAAAAAAATGTTAAATAATTGAATTCCTGTGAAGTTTTTATTATTTATGAAAATAATTGAATTATTTAGAAGAAATTTCTAAGAAAGTAGTAAATAATTGAATTCCTGTGAAATTTTTATTACTTTATGAAAATAATTAAATGTTTGCGTAGAATTTTATTAGAATTTTTTTGAATAATTGAATTCTTTTGGAAAATTTTATTAAAATAGTAAATATTGAAAATCATTGAATTGAGGAAATTTTTTTTAAATAATTGAATCTTTGCCTTTAATTTTATTAAAATTTTTAAAAAATAATTTAATTTCGGAGAAAACAATTATTTGTGACATTTGTAATTTTTCTAAAATTCTCTAAATTATATCGTACTATTTAAAAACTTTTCGTCCTTTTTCTATCAAATTACAAACTTTACGGATTTTTTTTCAAAAAACTGACTTTTACGGACTTAGTTCGAGCCCTGTTAAAGGTATCAAATTTGGCATCAATTTGATCCACTTTAGTATGAATTCGATACTCTCTAAAAAACTGTGATAGCAAATAGATTTAAAAATTAATCTATAAAAAATTCTTTCTAGTTTGATCGTTACGTTGTTAAAAGGAGATCCACTAAATAGAGGCGATGATGACGTTATTGAATTTTAAGATTTAAATTAATTTTTTACAATTTTTCTACAACAAAATTTATATATATATTATGTTCACCATAGTCGGATTTAACTTTTCTGTTTCTAAACAAATACATTATAATTTTTTACCCAGAGAATTAATTTTGTTCACTATTTAATTAAATCAGAGCGAAAATGGGGTAAAAATAATAATATATTTATAATTTATGTGTTAATATCCCTAATGTGTATATTGTGAATAAAACGATGGTGGGAGTTTAAAAGCCTAAGATAGTTATACGATAGTTAGACGATTAATGAAAAATCGATGACCTCAAATTTTCCGACAGTGGTTTATACTTAATTATTTATCAGGATATCCAGACAAACTGTATATGTGAGACTTTGAGTTATTAACGGACAAAACTGATGTGTGTTGTTATAAATAAATATTTTTAAAACACTAATTTATCTGAGTGAAGAAAACAAATTGTTTATTGCATTGCGTGTCTTTTAATGCAAATTTCAACAAATTTAGATAAGTTACTGTATATTCAATAGTAGAACAAAAAATATTGTATTTTTAACGAGATGTTCTTGTGAATCACTTGTGTAAAATGTTTTCTTTTCCAATCATTGTATTGTAGTCGCCTTATCAAAAAAAAAAAAAAAAATTCTCTCTTCATTCTCTAGTTTCCGTGTGAAATAACAAACGAACAAAAATGTTGTTAATAATATGAATAATGATTAAATTTTTCGATGAACTTGATTTTCTTTTAGAACACCTATAATCCTATCGCAGGCTTTTTTCAGATTTTCCAGACATTCCAGGGTTATTTAAGAAAATTCTAGTAAAATTTCGAATATTTATTTAAATTTTTGTAAATTGATAATTTTCAGATTCTGTAGGAATACTGAAAAATAATTTTCTTTCATTTTTTATTTATTTATACCATTTTCTTTAATGGTATTAAAATTATTGAAATGGTCTTTCTGATAACGATAAGTTATATCAAGAGTTACGTGGAGTGAAATAAAAGTACAAAGAGCTTTAAAGAGTGATTAATGCAGGTCTATTATTTAGAAAAAAAAACTGTTATTTAGAAAAAAAATAAAGGAACTGAATTTACGTACGTGTAAATTCATTATCACGGAGGATGTGTCACGCACCAAAATTGGTTTACGTCATTAGGACGCGCGTTTAGTGAAGTAGACTAAAAATATGATAAAGCTAAAATCAATAATTGGATTTATTTCATTTCGTAATGGATTATTTGCTTTTTATGAAACGGTAGTTTGTTTTCATTAATATCTTTTCAAGGAAATTTTGAATTCTGTATACACTCTATATAACAATATATATTGTTTCATTTTATCTGTATTTATTTATATAGAAGACTACGTTTTACTTTTTTTTATATTAATTTCCGTTTTAAAATGAAAACCCCACAGTAAATAATTGAAAAATTAAATTAGAGAAAGTAAATATTATTTCTCTAATTAATTTTTTTACTTTACACACAAACAATTTTTTTTTATTTAGAAAAGTATTAAGTTTCTCTAGTACAGTGGAAGTCTTAACTGAAACAACTAAAAATTTTAATATAGTATACTTTCCACAAAGTTTTGATATAGAAATTTAATTTCGTTTTTCCCTAATTTCCATATAAAATTTTGCTCTTTTCTCTAATTCCTTTAAAAGAAAATTAAAATATAATTTTTAATATAAAATTAGTTAGAGAAAATATTAATTTGAAACTTTTTAAAATTATAACTAATTAATAAAAATTTGAATTGTAGCTATTTCGTTATTAAATTTTGTTAATTTCAATTATTATTAATTTCTTCACAGCAATTGAACCGAATTTCAATTTTTAAGGAAGTCATGAGAATCTTATTAAAAGTATTTCTATTTAATTTTGCTTCCTCATAGAAGGAAGGATTGTATTAGCGAAATTTCCAATTGTAATTTTTTGACATATTTATAAACTTATTTTCATTATACCTAATCTTTTAGTACTTTATGTGCGAATGGGCACTGCCCGTATAAATGTTATAAATAAATAAATAAAAATTTCGATGTAATTTGACCCCAGAAGTCCAAAAAACGGATTTTAAAAAAATGTCCCAATGTGGGTGTGTTACTAACATTACATTTGCCTCAATATCTCAGAACGAGAAAGAGCTAAAGGCTTACATTTTTTTTTTAAATTGTAGGTCTCCACGGGGGACATAAAATGAGAGTATTTTCAGCCCGATTCATAAAGTTTAACTATATTTTTTTTGCATTTTTCATTTTGTAAAAAAACGTTTTTTGGCCATAACTTAAAAAAATGTTAGGACACCTTTCAATGTTTTTCTTTAGTTTTGTAGAGTTTTTTCAGACGCATCTTTTGAGCCTTCATTGAACATTTTTCGTCCATATTAGCCATAGATATTAAAGTTTTAAAAATCTAAATTTTTCAAAAATAATACTTTTTTGAAAATTTTGTTGAAAAATGTAAAAGTAACTTTAAAAGTATCATTACCAACTTGTAGAGCATTAAAAAACGCTTCGATTGACCTATTTTTGAACCTGATTGGGTCAGAAATTCTGAAATTATTGATATTTGAAAAATTAAAAATTGTGAAAAATATCATATTTTTTTAACATTCTTGTTTATTAATTTATGTGTAATTATTAAACTATTATTACCATTTTATAGAATATATAAAAACACATTTTTTGGACCAAGACTTAATGATTTTTAACTCTTTTATAATAAGTAATTCTCATATTTCAATTATTATTATTTATCTATGAGGAAGCAAAGTGTTCATGAAATGAACATAGTAAATTATAAAAATGTACAACTTGGCAGCGGTTTTTACTCTCTGAAGAATAGTTTAAGTTTTTTCGGATAAATTATAATATTGGATATAAAGTAAAATTTAAAGGATGGGTTGTTTTTTTTGTATTTTCAGCGAGGATGTGATTTATTTGGAAAATCTAATTATTAGCTTCTTTTAAACTGCGCGGTTCCTAAAATCAATTTTGAAGATGTTGTACGCGCACGTCTCAACTTGTTTTGCGTAAATCCAGGAACAGCGCCTCCTGGTGTTGAAGCGAAAGGGAACGAGCCACTAGCGATAGGCCGCCGCAGAGTGCAGTGCGGGTCCGTCCTATTTTGACATATTATAATAAAAGAGAGGAAAAAAAAATAGGACCACAGTCAGCTATAGAATTGATCACAATTTAAGATGATCAGAATGTTCGTCCTTAACAAGTGTGTGTCACAATTATTATTTAAAGCAATGCTATAGTGCGTAGTCTTTCCATCGGACTTCGGAATAAAAAGAATAAAACGAAAAAAAAATAAAAGAGAAAGACTTAATATTTATATACGTTTGACTTGTACACCGCGCCTGCTATGTATATTGACAAAATAAATCCTGTCGCCTCGCCATAGAGTGAACGAAGGGTCTATGTGTTTATCGAAAGGGGAAAGAAAAGTATCCTCGTCATCAAAAATTTTTCTTGTCGACAAAGCAACGAATTGAAAAAAAAAACTATAGTCGACGCGAATCACAAGTGGTTTTTTTTTCTGTCTTCCTGAACATGAATTTGAGGTTATTTGGTTATCCTGCCCATCCTGCCTAATAGGAGAATAACTTTTGTTTTTTGTTCTGGTATTCAAGTGTAAATTTTCATTTGAATGTCCTTTGAGTTTTTTTCCTGGCGAAGAAAAGAAAAACTTGAGAAATGGCAGGTAGCAAGGTGGGAAATGCTGTGCAAACGAAACCTGTCGAGATTTCTCAGGAACTCCAGGATGGCGAGAAGTTCGTCAAGTGGGACGAGGTATGAAATATCGTGATGTTTTTACTCAAGAAAGCTTCTTTTTTTTTAAAGAAAAAAGCATGTTTTTAAATGTGAATCATAACCCAGAAAATCAGTTTTGGTTGAATCATCAAATATTTCCATCATAACACTTGAAAATTAAGGCAAATATCCCTTGGGAAGGTTTATACTTCTGTTTGGATGCTGAACTGTTCAAACAGTCGGATTGGACCTCGAAGAGATAAAAAAAAATTCATGTGTTATGAGGGTTGAATTTTAAAACAATTCCTAATTGTCAAAAATGGGATAATCCTAATCAAGATTATTACCTAATGAAGTCTAGAGAGGTTTAACCAAACTATTTTCTATTAGTGGAAAATTTACTGCTTAGACTTCAATAAGTATGCATATGATAAGGTACTAATTTTATTTAGCACTTTATACAATTTATACAATTTATACAATTCATACAATTATGCACTTTATTGAAACTTTGAAAGTAGTGAATTTTCCACTGATTTAGAGGTTTTCTTTGATTCTTGGTGTTTTATAAATGTTCTGTGTCTTTTTTATAAATGTTAATATAATGTTGTACTTGGATATATTTTGTATAAAGAATTTTAATTAAATTTTGTTAATATACTGAAGTTAGATGAAAAATACACTTTCGATATTTTAAAACGTTTAACGGTCTGTCTTTTTCTTTCCTTTAAAACCATTCGGCACATTAATGTACCATGTACCTAAATGAAAACAAAAATATTTGTATCTCATAACATATGCAGAAATATTGACTCTAAACGATACAGCAGCATACACAATATTTTCTCAGTATTTTTAATTTTTATTGAGGAAATATTGCTTTCGATGCTTATTTTTTTACTGTTAACTTTAAAGTATCAAATTGCAACGAAGTGATACCAAAAATGTGGATTCTATTAAAAATTGTGCTTCATTTTTAGAATCAATTTGACTCAATTTAGTACAATTTGGCAAAACATTCAAGAAAACTGTGTTAATATTCCAGAGGATCCAGAGAAATGTTATGCTATGTAATAACGAATGGGTTGAAATTTTAACTTATTTAAATCAGTGACTGCTTTTTGCTTTTGAATCATCTGCAAATTTTAATTACAACACCTACTCACTGTAAATAAAAGGTTCTAAATTAGAGTTGATTTTCGGTATTAAAATAGAACCAAATGACGAATTAGTACCCAAAATTGGTACTAAATTAGTATCTTTCCTTTTATACATTAGTAAAACAGTATTTTTTTACTGGCATGAACCTAAAGTCCCAAATACTTTTAAAAATTAAAACGAAAAAATTATGCGACGATTTATTTTGGTTTCAAATTCTTGTTATTTTTGAGCAATAGTCTTTTAAGTATAACAAGTAATTTCTTAAAACTTGACGTATACATTAAAATTAGAGATGAATTCGACGCCTCATGTCGAGAAAATGTTATTTCAAACCTGTCAGTTGAGAATAAATCTATCTCAGAAACAAGTGTGTGATATGAAGTTAATTCACAAATTAATGCAAGACAATTCTAATTCATTCTTTAATTCAAGATAATGCAATAAAATTAGAATTAAAATTAAAGTTCAAAAAATCTCTAAAAATAGTTTTCATTATTCACAATTATTTTATTATAATTAATCTATTTAAATACTTTTTATTAATTAATATACTAAATTTCTTATCAAATTTTTGCTCATACCATATTAACTATTTTTTAAATATTCATATAAAATAAAATATTAAAATGATAAAAAATTATAGCACAAATAAGTATATCCAACATAGTTTTCTTGAAGTGGATCAAATTGGTGTCAAAAATTTGGATTCATTTTTTTTTTTATCCACATTTTTTATATCAGTTCGTCGTTGTAATTTGATACCTTTAAGTTAAAAGTGAATTAGAAAATATTCCTAATTGTCAAATGATTTAAAAGAAATTCTAATATATAATAAAGCTAAAAAATTTGTGTTTTTATTCTATATTAATCATATTAAAATAATTGTAAATGTAAGTATTGAAAAAATCATTGATGGCTAAATAAAAACGAAAAAATAATTTAGTTTTGGTGCAGGAATCAAAACTGAAAGGTCCCTGAATTTTCGTGCTGGCAACGAAACTAAAAGGTCCCTGTATTTAGTTTTGTTACGCTATTCAAAATTAAAACGAAAGTTTCGAAGCCATCCCTGCAATTTTAACCCATTTTTCTTAAAAGTATCAAATTGTTAATAAAGTTTATCAATTCGATACCAAAATTCAGATCAATTTTTTATTTGATCTACATTTTGGTATCAAATAAATACATTTCAGTATGAATTTGATGCTTTCGAGAAAACTGTGAATTTGAGAAGTCCAGATTATTGTCTACATTTATTTCTATTTACTAATTATTTATTTAAATATATTTACATGTTTTCTACTCATTACACTAAAAAAAATTTATTCGATACAAATAATTTTTAATTATAGAGTCAATTAAATTGTATATTTGAACCAATAATTTCAGTATTTGAAGTAAATATAAATTAATTGAACCATTTACTTGACTCTAATAAAAAATTATTTGATTCAAGTAAATATTCAATTGATAACAGTCAAGTAATCATTATGTTAATTTATGTATGGGAAATGTAAATTGCTGAAAAGTCATATATATGATATTAATAGATGTAATCTAATCTTGTCAAGTAATCGGTCATTTGAATTAAATACATTTTTTTTCAGTGTAATACATTTATTTTTATTTATTTCTTTAATACAGAACTGTTAAAAATCATGATTTTTTCTATTAAAATGAAATCTTTTCTGGAGCTTGATTTTTGGTAATGATAATAAAAAATTAAGTTTATAATAGAAGCAACAAAGAATAGCGACTTTTATTTTTCTTAAGAAACTATTTAACCGAACAAGTTGGGAAAATAAAAGACTACCTTCTCTTTAATTAACAGTCTTTATATTTTTTTTAATAAGATCTATTATTGGTTTTCTTGTAAGTTTTTCTTTTTTTGAATTTAAAACTTTAAACAAAAGTACTTGCATAGATAAGAAATTTAATTTCCAACAATTTAAATAATTAAAAGTTGCCTTTGAATAAAAATAAAAAATATTTGTCAATAAAAAATATTTGTTATATTTTAGCTTCTTTATGATAGAAAGTGATAATTTTATTTTTATTCAAATGCAACTTTTAATTGTTTAAAATGTTGAGCATTTAATTCTTTATGCTGCAACTAAATCGAATTTAAAATTTATTAATTTATCTTTTTCATATAAAATAGGAAATCATGACATTGGACTAACTTTTGTTAGTAAACTTAAGTTAATGAAGTTAATTAATTAATTAATTAACTGAATTACTGAAGTTACCATAATGTTTTCGTTAACGCAAAAAGTGAAAATTTCTTTTAAGATGAGCAAGAAGCATAAATTATTTTTGATAAAAAGAACATTATTATTTTCATTACATCCTAAACAGATTTTCAATTCAATCTGGACGAGAAAGACAATAGTTTCTGAAAAATTTAAGCTTTTTTTTATTACATTTCTTCGACGTAAACGTTGGTAACTTTAGTTTCATCTTTTGTTCAGATTCTTACGAATTCTTTGTTGAATTCTTCCTTGTTAAAGTTGATTAAAAACCCATTTTTAAATAAAAATCTTAATCATTTAAAATATAAAGCTAAAACTGGCACCTTCTTAATTTTTGTTAAATTATTTTTAACTACTTAATTTTAATAATAAAATTTTAAAGTTAAATATTTTTTAAAAAGTTGTAACTAGCACTCGGTTATCAGGACACATTTAATTTTTCAATTGATGTTAGTATCAGACAAAAAAATATTTAACTTTAAAATTTAATTTCTAAAATTTAAAATTAAGTTGGTGCTGATAACTGGGTGCAAGTTTCATCTTCATATTTAAAATGGATAATTTTAGGCACAATATTTACAACAGCATCCGGATAGTTAGGAATCCGATGGACATCCCAGAAACATCTTACGGATATTATAATTTTAAGATGTTCGTAAGACACTATAATTTTCAGATATCCGTAAGATATTCTAAAAATCCGGATGCTGTTGGTATAAACTTATAAATTTAATCACAATTTTCTATCCGTCTTCTGTTGTTTCGTAATAAAAATCTTTAAGTTAAAACACCTTGAAACGTAATCAAAAAACAATTCTCATAAATTCTCGAACCGAAGGAAAAACGAGTCAATAATTTACCGGTGTCTTCTTTCTCGTCTTGACGTAAATTACCGTCTGAGAACATTAATTAAGGACTGCGGGGACTTTGTGTAAATAAATAGAATTGTATACAATATAGGCTAAGTCAAATTTTGCTTCAATTGTGACTTGTGAGTCACGTACGCCCTGACAAAAGTCCATTCAGTGTATGATCCTTTAACTATAATCAGATTTTCCCTTTGATATTTATCCAGAAGGAATTCCTCTATTGATAATAAGATCTTCTTAAAACAAATCCTCTGTAGTCGTTGGATAATTTCATTTCACGGTTTTATGATTAAAAGAATTGTTCTCTCTTAGTGCGGTTGTTTCGTGTAAAAAATGGGACTTGTTCTTCATTTTTACCTTTATTGCGCTTGCGCCACAGAATTTTTCCTGCTAAAAACATTATAAGACCCTTTTTAAGGTTTAAAATCTGTACACATTTTAGAGTCAAATAAAAAATTTCTTTGCTCCAAATTAATTTTGTTAGCTTTAAGTATTATCTTTTGAATCAGTTAGAAACCACAATTTTAACTGACAATCAATGAATGACTTTTCGCTTCTGCAATCAAATCAGTTCACAAAAAAACTGATTTTCAGTAAAAAATATTTGAAAAATTAGTTATATGTTTTACTGAAGATCAGTTATTTTTAATTGATTATATATATATTTGTCAAATTATACTTGGTTCGAAAAAAAAATTTCCATGTGTTGTAATACAAAATTAAAAAAAAAATAATTCTTATTTGTCAAATTATACTTGGT